TTTGACTACAGCTAAAAAACGACAGCGTTGCGGACGTCAAACACCACAACACTGAGTTTCTGATAAACAACAGAGACAGCGGCAGAGTTGCTGCGGCTCTTTTTTCTGCTCTACATGACTTGAACATGTTTTTAAAACCATAACAAGTAGAAGCGCTAAAAGCCTTTCTTCTAAGAAAAAAAGATGTTTGCGCAGCTGCCAGACGCCATTTTTGACTATTACTAAAAAACTACAGTCAGCATTTCCGCCTTTTTCCTGATTGGTTATTTTGAGCTGGCTAGTCCCGCCCCTCATGTGCCTGTCTGCCTGTAAGTAACCAGACTCATTATCTGTGGATGTCGTCAGAGGACGAGTCTGGCAGGCCAGGCTATCTCTACATGCTGTTGGACAATGAACTACGTGAAGCACTCACCGCTACGGATGAATCAACGGGACAGTCCGCCATATCCTGTCAGAGAAGACACAAATACATCCTTTTTTCTAAACAAAGAACTTTAGTACCTATCTGCTCTTGATTTAACCCTCCCACTGTCTTTATGGGTGACCCTGCGAGGAAAGTTGACCACTGAGCAGGGTTGATGGTTTATCCCTTGAGGTCCACGTGGCAGGGGTGAGGTGGTGCTTACTCCTAACCCCTGCCACGTGGACCCAAGGGATAAACCATCAACCCTGCTCAGTGGTCAACTTTCCTCACGGGGTCACACCCATTAGGACAGTGGGAGGGTTAAAGAGCAAGTAACGCCTAAATTAACTTTTTTTTTTTTGCTGATCACCTGTATAGATGAGTGTCGAATGGTGCTCTACACATGTGTAATCATTAGTGTGGCCGTTCAGTGCAACTTACTTTAAATTTAATATTTCAGCCAAAAACCATAATTGTATCTCCATCTTCAGGTTAAAACTCTGCTCCACATGTATGTAGAACCAGCTGTGGCTGATGGCTGAGCTGAAAAACGTGACGTCGTCAGCAAATGACTATGTGGCTGCTTTGCACTGGTCTCCAGGTGAGTCAGCTGCACCTCCACCTGGCTCAGCCGCTCACCTGCCGATATGACACTTTGGCGCTCTAAGCGATGCTCGCCTCCTTGAAAAAATGCCCTTCTCCTCTTCTCATTTGATGATCGCGGTTAACAGGAACTCCTCCATTATGCTGCAGAATCTGTGTCTGCTTTTCTCCTGAGCGGTAAATCTAGTGTGAGTGCGTGCACGCACGAGTGTTGAGGCGGGTGCAGTCTACCTCTATCTCAGTGCCGCTCTCTCGGTCCGCCAGGTGACACCTCTTTCAGAAGCGTTTTCTAACAGGAAGTGTGGATGAAATACGTCTCTAACTATGCCTTGACTCTCACTTTAAAGAAAAGCTCGTGCCAAAGCTGTTTCAAACGAGCCGTCAAAATATGAATCCACTCTGTTGCATCATCCCACCCACCAAACCGACTGAACGCTGTGATTGGCGTAACACAACACTGCTTAAGCCATAGGCCTGCTGAGGCCCTTATGGTGTGGCTGGACTGGCATGCAGAGAGAAATCATTCTGTCTAGGATTCTGGGCTAGAGTACAGCTAGGCTAAACTCTCCCAGAGTCACCACAGTGTATGCTTTGTTGTGCCACCCCCCAATTTTTCTCTGGCCCAATGAAATTTTCTAGGGCCACCACTGCCTAATTGATGAGAACTATTTGGCATCACAAATAGGTGAAATAAAGAGCTAACACTGTAAGTGCATACACACTAGGCTCTGGCTTCGGTATAACGTTAGTTCTGGTGAATGGAATTCGTGCGCAGGTCTGAAAGGCTGCTGCTGGGCCAGGTTCCATTTTATGTAACACGAGGTCTGACCTTACATGTCAAACGTAAGGCAATAAGGTCCAGCTGAGCAGGACATCTATGGGTCACGTCTGCTGTAAATAATTGGAGAGTACTTTGTCTTCCTGTCTGGAGCTAATGAAGATGTCACTGAGAAGTTAGAGCCTCGTCTCCTGGTGGGGACGACGGAACTGCGTTAATGAACCTGTTTGTACAGTACCAATTACTCATTCTAGGTCATTAGGGGCAAATCTTCCTTTTGGAGAAAGGTCTATAAAGATCACAACCTTTTGTTAATGTGGTGGTCTGAATAACCGGTGGTTATCTCTGACACCATGTAGCGACGGGACCGTAAAGGTCAGAGGTGTCACCTTGGTGCTGACCGCACGGATCTGGAGCTCCAGGAAGGAAACTGGCCTTTTTGACCTGGCCAACGTGAGCTGAGAAAACAAGAAGTAAACCCAAGATCTGCATCTTATTTATGCTAATTATGAACAAATGATGTTAGGTCACAGGAAAAAGTGATGAATATCAGGTCCAGCATTGGTTGGACCACGTCCTGTTCTATAAGTTTCACATTGATAAAAAATATTGAAGGTCCTAGTCAGACTGACGGGGTTTCATTTTTAATCAGACAGAGTCAGAGTTCAAACTTCAACCACAAGACGTTACTGAAACGAAATAAAAAGAAAAGAAAAATAATTCTGACTTTTTCTTTTCAGTGGCCCTAATCCTCTTCCATACATCCATCCAGGACGCTCCTGTCAACAGGTCAGTTTAAATTCATGGAATGCTCTAATCTTCTCTAAATCACAGAGCAGATTTGGATTTGCAATATCAGTCGTGTAGCACCACCTGGTGTCTCCACTTCGAAACAGCAGCAGATGGCCTGTGTGTGTGTGTGTGTGTGTGTGTGTGTGTGTGTGTGTGTGTGTGTGTGTGTGTGTGTGTGTGTGTGTGTGTGTGTGTGTGTGTGTGTGTGTGTGTGTGTGTGTGTGTGTGTGTGTGTATATACACACACACACACACTGCATGGCCATAACAAGCTAAGCAAACAGGAGCCTCCTATTGGATAATTGCTGCATGGGTGATTATCTTTCAGATGACAACAGCTTATTTAACCCCAACTGGTGCAATGAGTGTCTTCTCATTTCTGAAACAGCGTCTGGAAAGACTCCTCTGGTGTTCGCCTGTGTGAGAAGGGTCAGATCGTTGGCATCAAGCAGAGAAAACATCTAAGGAGATTGCAGAAACGACTAAAGCTGGGTTAAGAACTGTCCAGCGCATTAATAAAAACTGGAAGGATAGCCATCCAGGGGCGTCCCCAGACATTTTTGATAATGGTGGCCAGTTAATTGGTCCTTGTGGTAACTCTGGGAGTTTAGCCTGTGGTGACGCATTTCTCCTTAATTCTGTTATTAATTCAAAATATATATATATGTGTGTGTGTGTGTGTGTGTGTGTGTCAACATTTGAGAAAAATATATTTCAGTTAATTGAAATGTTATTTTAGAATTTTATTGTTTAGTTTCACCTGTTGCTGTCTTCACAAAAAACTACGGACTGTTAACGGCGAGCACCAGAAACATCCTTTTTTTTAACAGTTCTGGTTATTACTTTACTCATTTATTGTGTTTTCCCAAAAAACTAGTTTTCTTGTCCGGGGATTGGACCGCCAAGGCTCCCGCCTTGGTCTGCCACCCGATTCGCATTGCACCGGACCCTTCATGTTCCTCCTGCGGGTGGTGGGTCCACAGTTGGACGAGCCCATGTATCCGGTTCGGGCTGGGCCCGGCCGGGCCCCATGGGCGAAAGCCCGGCCACAAGGCGCTCGCTCACGGGCCCCAACCCCAGGCCTGGCTCCAGGGTGGGACCCCGGTAACCCTCCGGGCCGGGTACTCCGACTCTTCGTTTTAACCGCCATGAAAGATCCTTCGAACCATTCTTTGTCTCCTCCGGATCGAAAGGAGCCAGTTGAGGTGGTTTGGGCATCTGGTCAGGATGCCTCCTGGACGCCTCCCCGGGGAGGTGTTTCGGGCATGTCCTGCCGGCAGAAGGCCCCCGGGTCGACCCAGGACACGTTGGAGAGGTTACATCTCCAATCTGGTCCGGGAACGCCTTGGGGTCCTGCCGGAGGAGCTGGTGGACAAGGCCGGGGAGAGGACGGCCTGGAGCTCCCTAGTTGGGATGCTGCCCCCGCGACCCGGACCCGGATAAGCGGAGGAAGACGAAGACGAATTTATTGTGTTTTACATTTATTTATATTTTTTAATTAATGTCTTGAATAAAAAAGATGAATTTATTGTTTGAGTGGACATTAATATGATTTATTGACACTTTTCTAGTCTTTGAGGAAGAAATATTGCCCAATAGTGTAAGAGTGGGTTCAGGAAGCATGAAACCACCACATAGTCCAGATCCTAACCCCACCGAGAATCTTTGGAATGTGCTGGAGAAGGCTTTGTGCAGCAGACTCCATCATTAATGCAAGATCCTGGTGAAACATTAATGTAACACTGGATGTAAACAAATCTGGTGACGTTTCAAAAGCTAATCAAAGCTTTTGGCCAAGCAGTGTATTAAATATGCAGATAAATATGTTCGTTTGTAGAAGCACTGCGTTTACCAGTTGTGGTTTTAGTGCATCTCCTCCATCTTGGTTGTCTCTTGTAACACTTCACTGTTGTTGTGCATCTGTAAAACTAATGTTTTTAGTCTCTGAGGGCACAGCTAAGTTACAGCGATCCATCATCCACGCCGTATTAATCCTAGCCGCCCATGTTCTGAATCCGATTTGCTGAACAGATCTCCTATTGAGATAATGGCTTTTTCATCAGCAGCAGCGTGGTGTGACCGACGCAGACACAGAGATGATGATGTGTGGATCCAGACTCTAATGATGTAAGATTTGGTTAAATGTCTGAATTTTATTAAATGCATCCGGTTTCATGTTGGGAGTTTGGATCTTTTAAAATCACTAAATATCTGAAATTGTTGACTTTACCTTAAAACCCCTCAAGATGAAATCGAAGTATCACATTAAATGTATTTGAATGCATGACTCAGCAAATAAAAGCTCTAAACATTGAGATGAGTCTTCCACACAATGTTTACAGCAGCTACCAAGTCCTGTTCAGTGGCGCCTAACATGATGGCGCCACCCAGTGGTTTAACGCATCAAGACGAAAACAACAGAAATGACACAGTTGGGATTTATTTAATAAACTTTAGCCAAAAGGAGGGGGACAGGGGGACAGTTCATTTTAGTACAAGAACAGTTGTTTCCTTTTATCTGATTATGATTGTTTTGCTCTTTATTTTACAGCCGAAGATTCGTGTGGAACTCAAAGTAAAAACAGCCTTTTTCCCATTAAGATCTGTTTGAACAAGCGCTACCGGTCTTTGTCCTCCGCTCCAGACGTGGACGTCCCACGCGCCGGCTCAAGACGTGGACATCCTACCCAACAGCCTCACCCAACCAGTCATACAACAACAATCTCTGTCACAAATGAAAGGACTCGGCATCATCCGTCAGATGGTTTCATAGCCAAAAACAGCTTCTGCCTACTTCGGACAGTACGGCAAAACATACTACTCTGCCTCAGAACGTTAGGAAAAGGCTACGGTAGAATAAAATGTACCCCGCCTGACGAACGTCCAAAAAAGGTCAAAGTTTAATTTAAAAGACGGAAAAGTAGATTACAAAAAAATACAAAACATTGTACGAGGAACAAAAGCTCCTCCGGTGTTATTCAGCGGTCCTTCTGCAACATACTCCAGATTAAGAAAAAATACAGATTTAAGTTATTAAAATGAATGTGCATCTCCAGAGCCGGCTGCTCTGTTCCGGTCCCACCGAGTCTCTCAGAAGGGCAGCCCTCGCCCTCTGATCGCTGCTGTTGAGTTTACATGTGGAACAAAGCCCAGAGGAAGGGGCGGGGCCCCGACTTGTGATGGAGAGCCCCACGGCTGTCCTGACGCTGGGATGGGTGGAGGTATGCCGTCCTGCCGAGCCATGGTGTGGTTGTAGAGGTGGATCGCACTCGGGTTGGGTGGTGCGTCCCTAGAGATGGAGCTGTGACTGTACTCGAATCGGTGGTCCTTGTCCCCGCTGAACACCATGCTACTGGGACCAGTATTGGCTGGTGCTGGAGGGAAAGGGTCTGGGTGAGGCGGGGGAGGGGGCAGAACCCCAGAAGCTTGGGATGAGGGGGCAGGTTGTCCAGGCCCACTGAACACCTCTCTCAAGGTGTGAGGGGGCAGGCCTCCACCCAGCATGTGACCCATGTAGCTGTCCGCGAACACAGCAGGAGCAAAGGGAGGAGGAGGCGGGTGGGCGTACTCCGCCCCGTACCCAGAACCCTCCGTAGAAGGGAGGGGGGGATAGTCTGGCTCCGGGGGACGGCCTCCATCACCTCCATGTGCTGAGGCAATGGGAGGAGCATGGCCCATTTGAGGCTCAGGCGGGGGCTGCCGGTAGTCCAGGTCGGCATGGGGGGGTGGTTCTGGAGGCTCAGGTGGTCTCTGGTCTGGAGGTAGGATGGGAACTCCGCCTACTTCAGACACTAAAACAAATAAAACAAAACAAAAAACTTTCAGATTTCAGAAGTTGGAAATTGTCTCCCGACTCATTTTTAGTTTTTGGACAATTTTTAACATCTGAGACAAATAATTAGTATACATTTTACAGGACTTCGTTGGTGCCGCTTGGAGAAACTGTCGATGTTTTTAAAGTCAGAGTTTTTTAAATACATGTCCATCTCAAAACATTTGCATGTTGTGATAAAGTTCATTATTTTCTGTAATGTACTGATAAACAGTAGACTTTCATATATATTAGATTCATTACACACAGCTGAAGTAGTTAAAGCCTTTTATTGTTTCTAATATTGATGATTTTGGCATACAGCTCATGAAAACCCAAAATTCGTATCTCTAAAAATTAGCATATCAGAAAAGGTTCTCTAAACGAGCTTTTAACCTAATCATCTGAATCAACTAATTCACTCTAAAGACCTGCTAAAGATTCCTGAGGCTTTTAAAAACTCCCAGCCTGGTTCATTACTCAAAACCGCAATCATGAGTAAGACTGCCGACCTGACTGCTGTCCAGAAGGCCATCATTGACACCCTCAAGCAAGAGGGTAAGACACAGAAAGAAACTTCTGAACGAATAGGCTGTTCCCAGGGTGCTGTATCAAGGCACCTCAGTGGGAAGTCTGTGGGAAGGAAAAGGTGTGGCAGAAAATGCTGCACAACGAGAAGAGGTGACCGGACCCTGAGGAAGATTGTGGAGAAGGACCGATTCCAGACCTTGGGGGACCTGCGGAAGCAGTGGACTGAGTCAGGAGTAAAAACATCCAGAGCCACCGTGTACAGGTGTGTGCAGCAAATGGGCTACAGGTGCCGCATTCCCCAGGTCAAGCCACTTTTGAACCAGAAACAGCGGCAGAAGCACCTGACCTGGGCTACAGAGAAGCAGCACTGGACTGTTGCTCAGTGGTCCAAAGTACTTTTTCCAGATGAAAGCAAATTTTGCATGTCATTTGGAAATCAAGGTGCCAGAGTCTGGAGGAAGACTGGGCAGAGGGAAATGCTAAAATGTCTGAAGTTCAGTGTCAAGTACCCACAGTCAGTGATGGTCTGGGGTGCCATGTCAGCTGCTGGTGTTGGTCCACTGTGTTTTATCAAGGGCAGGGTCAATGCAGCTAGCTATCAGGAGATTTTGGAGCACTTCATGCTTCCATCTGCTGAAAAGCTTTATGGAGATGAAGATTTCATTTTTCAGCACGACCAGGCACCTGCTCACAGTGCCAAAACCACTGCTAAATGGTTTACTGACCATGGTATTACTGTGCTCAACTGGCCTGCCAACTCTCCTGACCTGAACCCCGAAGAGAATCTGTGGGATGTTGTGAAGAGAAAGTTGAGAGACGCAAGACCCAACACTCTGGATGAGCTTAAGGCCGCTATCGAAGCATCCTGGGCCTCCTTAACACCTCAGCAGTGCCACAGGCTGATTGCCTCCATGCCACGCCGCACTGAAGCAGTCATTTCTGCAAAAGGATTCCCGACCAAGTATTGAGTGCATAACTGAACATAATTATTTGAAGGTTGACTTTTTTTGTATTAAAAACACTTTTCTTTTATTGGTCAGATGAAATATGCTAATTTTTTGAGATAGGAATTTTGGGTTTTCATGAGCTGTATGCCAAAATCATCAATATTAGAAACAATAAAAGGCTTGAACTACTTCAGTTGTGTGTAATGAATCTAATATATATGAAAATCTAATGTTTATCAGTACATTACAGACAATGATGAACTTTATCACAATATGCAAATTTTTTGAGAAGGACCTGTATATGAAATAGGAAAAAAGCCTGAAAATTCTGTATTATCTGTTTATTTACATCTCCCAGACTGCAGAAACCCAGCATGTGAAACAAACTCACCTGGAGAAACAGGACTTGGTTCTGGGGGCTGTTTGACCTCTGGAGGTAGAAGTGCTGCGGTTGTTGCTGGAACGGCGCCCTCTGTTCCCTCAACGCCATCGCTGACTTCCTGCCTCTGAGGCTGTTGAGCCTGCAGCAGCTGAGCTAGCAGCATGGTCATGGCCGTCTGCGTGGCGGTGGCTTCGCCCTCTGGAACGCTAGACGGGGCAGACATGGGGGGCGACGGAGGCTTGGGCATGGGGGGGGTGCGGGGTACTCCTGCTGGAGCGGGCAGCTGGGGAGGCTGAGGGGGGGGCTCAGACGGATCAGAGGGAGCCACGGCTTTAGTGAGCTGCTGTAACGTCTCCTGGTTGACCTTTGTGCTCATAGACTGGACCAACTGGGCGGTGCTGATGGAACATTTGGGCTGACCAAAGAGGTTCAGGATGACCGCCAGCTGCTCCTGGGTGAACTGGGAGTTTGGACCCTTTGGATCTGTAATAAAAATAACATAATTTTTTTAATGTTAACAAAGCTGAATTAAAGACTCACTCCTAATTCTGCAGAAGCTAAAGATAAAAGCGTGGTGAAGCTCACCGAGCAGCACTGATGCAGCTGCATTCTGGGCTTTGACGCCTCCAGCAGCAGGGAAACCCTGCGGAGTGTTGCTGCGGCTGTCGTCGAGGCCGAGCTCCTTGCGAGGCGCCTTGGGAGCCACCAGCTCCTCTGGCAGCTGCTTCTGTCGCCGCCGTTTCTTACTCCACAGCTCATGACAGTCCTGCCACAGCGGTAAACTGCAGAAAGGGACGCAGTTCAGGTGTCAAGGGTCTGATAACGCTGTGGGGTCAGCGTGTGGACAACAACAACAAAACATACTCAGGTGGAGGCATCTTGTCTGGATCGACGTCCTTCAGGAACTCGCTGCTCAGAGCTTGTTCAGCAGTGCAGCGCTTGCTGGGGTCCAGGTTCAGCATGTGGTCAAACAGATCCAGAGCTGTAGGCGGGATGCTGGACAGCAACAGAACCATCACACAGGGGAAGCCCGACTCTCAGGAAGGCAGAATCAAAGAATAAAGCAGAACTCACAAAGAAAACTCCTCCCTGAGGCGCCTCCGGTACTGCTTCTTTGGTTTCATGGTGTTGAAGAAGGGAAGCTTGATGACATCTGGCCAAACAGCTGGACAGGGGCTGCCACATATCCGACTGGAACACACACACACGAACATGTTGAAGTGTTTATTTTTAAACCTAATTATATCACCTCCTGAATGGCCTAAAATCAGAGAAAGAGTGAATGTCCTTCAGGATTGATATGCTATTGGGCAGTATGAGCACACTCCCGTAAAGCATCAGCTGTGTGAAGGTTTATGAAACGTTTGCTGTGAGCTTTAGAAAATCAAAGCTGTTCTGGGTTAGTCCTGGACTAGCCGTCAGCTCATCAGTCAGGGAGGTCTGATATGATGTTGTAAAGGAACAGAATTCAAAATGGCAGACATGTCCTTTCATAAACAAACACTGAAGTTTGATGTAATGAGTTTTTTGCATGCTGTCTTTGTGATAGATGATGTGTGACACGCTGCAACAAAGATAATGTGAAAAAGATGGATTCCCCTTCTTTCTCTGAAAACTGACCCTTAAAGACCGACCGAATCTGCCAGGACAAAAATAAAAACACTTCAAATCTACACAATTCACGTGACGCCATTTTTGGTCTCAAAAACGTCAATATGTGCCAAAAAGTGACTAATTTGCAGGTGTGGTGTTGACAAATCTCTGTAGCTGTGCCATCTGCTTGTCAGCATCCCCCATAACTAGCCGGTGTGAGACCCAGCTGTGAGAGTCCAGCGGACACCGACCTAATGAGCTCCAGCTGTGCGAGCTCCTGGTTTGCCTGGAAGATGGGTTTCTTAGTGAACAGCTCCCCGAGGATACAGCTGTAGAGAACAAATGAAAGTATTAATCATGATTATGGAAACTACAACGATGAGGTTGAGTGGCGTGCTCTTACCCGCAGCTCCACACGTCAATAGCAGGAGTGTACCTCTCTTCTCCCAGGAGCAGCTCCGGGGGCCGGTACCATAGTGTGATGACTTTATTGGTATATGGCCGACTGGAAGGGAAGACGTGGTTGTTGGTGACAAAATCATGATCAATGGCAGACTGAAGAACCGCCGATGTTAGCGCACTCACCTCTCCTCGGAGTTGTAAAGTCGAGCCAGACCAAAGTCTGCCAGCTTTATTTGACCTCTGGTGGAAAGAGAACACCGATCAAAGTTAAGAAGAGAGACAAGGCACGTGTGTTTACATTCTGGTCCAAAGAAAGTCTCACTTGTTATTGAGGAGAATGTTGGAGCATTTGATGTCTCTGTGCAGAAAGTTCTTCTTGTGGCAGTAGTCCAGGCCCTCCAGCAGCTGTCGCATGAAGGACTTGATGTGGTTCTCGTTGAAGTGGACCAGGCCCGACTCGAGCAGACCCATCAGGTCGTGGTCCATGTACTCAAACACCAGATAAAACGCCCCTAGGGTGAGAGGGACAAGCCTGAGTCAGCACAGATGTGCGTTTCCTGATCAACAGAACTAAATTAACAAACACCACCTTTATCGTTCCTGAAGTCCAGGGCGTCCTCCTTGTCGGTGACGATCTCCTTCATGTTTATAATACTCTTGTGATTGAGCTGCCGCAAAATCTTTATCTCTCTGATGGCTGTGATCGGGAAGCCCTCTTTCTCGTTGTCCAGTCGAACTTTCTTCAAAGCCACCATTTCACCTAATTAATAAATAGAAGAGGGTCGAGTGTTAGCTGGCCTTTAAAACAGCCGAGTCAGTGACTTGCATAAACATGTCGCCGTGGAAAACAGCAGAGATGACGAGTGACGTACCCGTGTCTTTGTCTTTAGCTTTGTACACCTGACCGTAGGTGCCTTCTCCCGTGATTCCAATGATCTCAAACTTGTCCACACACCGCTTCCCCCAGTAGATCTCAGTTTCTTTGATCTCACCAAATCTTGGGCCACAGATTCTAGAAATGAAAAGCAAACATTTTAATAAGGCCAAGAGAAGAAAAGGGGCTGTAGAGAATTATTAAAACCTACTTGGGTCTTCGACGAGGCGTCTGGGACTTTTTGTCTTCAGGAGGACTGTGAGGGGACGACGTGCCGCTAGGAAGCTCGGGGGGCAGCGGCAGGTCCGCCAGGAGCTGACGAGCCTTCCTCTCTATCTTCTTTTTTCCTGAGATGTCCTTTAAGCTGTTTGAGGGCGCATGAGAACGATGACTGATAAAGAACCACAAAAACACACGTGTGATCGGGAGATTCATACCTGTCTCCCTTCTCCGAGTGTTCAGCAGCTGCTGGGGGCAACGGCAGCGACAGCAGAGTAGAAATAACCGGAGCGGTGGTTCGATCCTTGTCCTTGCTCTGCACAGATGCTGCTGCTTTCCTCTTGTCCCTGTGTACGGAGTCATCCCTCCCTTTCCCATCTCTGTCCCTACTGTTCTGGTGCTCCGTGGTCCTCTTGGACACCTTGTTAGCAGGGGACTGAGGCTGGCACAAGGGGGGAGTTCTGGGGCCCTTCTCTTGTTGAGGTGGTGAGGGGGGACGTCCCTTCCTGGATGTGTGGTTTAGTTTAGGGCTGGGCTGAGGAACCGATGAGGAACCCTCGGTTGGAGTCAACGTGTTGCTCGCATTCTTGGCTTTGGCCGCTGCCTCGGCAGCTTTAACCTTCTTCTGCTTGCTGAGCTCAGCGGCGAGGCTGGATTTGAACGTGAGCGTGCTCGGCGAAAGACTGGAGGGGCGGCTGCGGGAACGGGAGTGGCGATGGCGGCTGTGAGAGCGTGAAGGCCTTGAGGTTGTATATGGACTTCTGCTACGTGACCTTCGCCTGGACAGGAAGCAACACAAACTCAGTTATGATAAAAACACACGAAGAGGCGCTTGGGTTCGTCCGCTAACTTTAGGGCCCGTGACGGACTAGGAGGGATATAATAGACTCACAGAGCTGAGAAGACTATTCTGATTAATCTTTTCCTTTCAAACTGATCACAAAAAAATGTAATGTGTGGTTTTTTTTTTTGCTGAACAAAATTATTGTGCAATCCAATTTTGCAAAAAAATATTTTTTAAAAATCTGTATTTAGGCTTCCACTCAGAAGTAATGCTGACTGGGGGGAATTTTAAAAATAAACAAGCCACTGCAGCAGTGTGATGTTTGTCACTCAGCTGCTGCTGCTCTGTTCTAACACCACGGGCCTTGTACAAAAGCAAAAATGTAATAATTACAAAAACAAAAAGGCAAATAACCCAACATTATCACGTAACACAAGAACAAATATTAAAGAATAAATAGCTCCAGCAGCAGGCTGGAGGTAGATGGGTGTCAAACCCCACAAGTTTTATTTTTTAGAAGCCGATTAGTTTTTGTCTTTTATTTAACTAGGCAGCTGGTGAGTGAAGTGTTGGAACTGAGTAAAACGGCACCAAACCCAGACAGATGTTCAGCGCGTCCCGAGTTATCTCAACAGAAACCCGTCTGATCTTACCTGACATCGGGACTTGGGCTCAGCGACTTCCGATAAGGACTGCGAGATCTCCTGCGGCTTTTATAAGGACTTGAGACGAACTCTCCTTGTTCATACGGACTGTGTCGACCATAACTTGGTGACCTTCGCCAGTTGGCTGGGCTCGTTGGGGACCTCTTCCTCTTGTTGCTGGAGTACGAGCTGGGTGACTTGGAAGCACCATACGCTCCATACACATCTATGTCCCGGCTGTAGTACGTGGAACTGGGAGAAGCTCTTTTACTCCCATAAGTTGGACTTCTTCTAGATATCTGGTTATACCCACCAGGAGACTGGTAGCTGCATGAATAGGATGTCCCATAGGGACTTTCAGTTTTAGGAGCAGGACTTCTCCTGTAGGACCTCGGATCCTCTCGTTCTTCTCTGTAAGACTGTAAAGCATCTCTGTAGGCAGATGGGGGCTCTTTGTCAGATCTTGTTTTACTTTTGTGTCTTTTTGAGTCCTTTTTATCTCCAGATTGGGAGGCCTGGGCTGCAGAAGTCCTCTTACTGTTTTTGCCACTGCTCTTTCCAGTGTCTCTGTGGTTTTTAGAGGTGCTCAGGTTACCCCCGCTCCTGACTTTGGAAGGCTCTTTCTCACGACTTTGACGCTCCTTTTTCTTCCCTACCACCTTTTCTTGTTTCCTCTTAGCACATGGTACTCTTGTTATGGCGTCTTTACGGAGGCAAACTGCCTCTCGGCCTCCCAGGCGACCTCTGTCAGGGGATGATGGTCCATTATACTCCCCAAAGTCAGCATCGCTAAGCTGATCCACTGACAGGCTGTCCGCATGAGGGTAGGATTTAGGAGAGGGGCTTCCAGAGAAACGCTCCGACTGGGAGCTCACGTCGTCATACTCTACTAGTGTCCGAAGTTCAAGCTCCTTTTCAAAAGCGTTACTTCGATCATTCTCGATGTCTCCTGTTGTGCCAGCTGGCCACAAGTTTCTATTCCTGGCTTGCCTGCGTTTCTTCCTCCGAGACGCCGACAAGCGCCTCTTTTCCCGGTGCCTGTCTCGCTGAGCGGCACCGCTCCCCGGTTTACTCCGTCTGTCCTGCCTGTTAGCATTCCGCTGCCCAGAGGGGCTTCGTCTCCGACCCTCTCGAAGCACCTCCGAGTTAGGCATTTATTCTTGAAATAGAAAATCTATGACGAAGTTCTGACTAGTTGTACGTTGAGAATTACGTAAACTATGTCCCTTGTTGTGTCGTTGAACAGAACATTGGGCTAGGTGGCTAAGTTAGCCAACTTCTCAGCACAATCAGTTCGTTAGCACGATATTAGCTATACATTTCCATGACAAAGCGAGCACAAATGAGCTCCCACACAAAGTAGTGACACTTGGCGACAAAAGACTCCACCACACTCCGTTACAAATGAGGTGCTATGTTATAGAGGCAGTCCATACTAAACCATTGCATTCCAGGACGGATTTGTTAGCCACAGCTAATCAGTGAAGCTAGCTAACGGTTACGGAGTCTGATTCCATTTCATGAGGCCCGGATCAGCACCGAATCTTTTAAAACACCATTCTACCCAAATATAACAGCTCACGAGAGGCTTTTAATCCATTTATCAGGCAGTATTAAAATGTCCAAAAACGAACAAAAGCTCTTGTCCACGTAAACTTCTCGCCATCCATTAAAATCCAATGTGCAACAAGGAAGTGAATAGCACGCAACTTTGCCGCTAGCTACCCGCTAGCAACTTAGCCAGCTAGCTTTCCTTTCTCCTTGCGTAGAGTTCCAGGCAAGTCAGTCACGAAAAACTTCCCATTCAAAGACGCCTCTCTGGTCTTGCATCCCGCCGGACTTCCGTTCCGTGTGTTGACAACATTCCCCTTAACGTAGCTGTCGTCTTGCCGCAAACTGTGACTACAAGATATCTTGGATTTATTTCAAAATAGTATAACTTTGTTCGTAATGTTGCTAACAGTACAGCTTTCAAGGCCCGTGCAGCTTTCAAACTACAGGCCTCGTGCGTCGACGTAAACCAATAGGAGCAGCCTGCGTCATTCCGATCAGAGGATACGTCATGACGAAGGGAAACCCTCACCTTCAAAATAGAACACAAAGAACCCTTTTTTCTTAAAGCTTTAGGTATTTGGTCACTCTACAACAGGGCCGTCAAACTCGAATTCGAACTCGGCCGAAACGAAAAACTGGGACGAAGTTGCGGGCCAAACTCAACAATTATTAAAAAATGACGGCAAATGTGCCCATCTATATGTATTATTGAACCTTTTCATTTTGCATAAACACAGAATCTGCAATAACAATAACCAAGTTATACACGAGCAAGTAATTTTGAAATAAGAAACACATCAGTGATATTCGTTACTTATGTCTAATTTTTTAAAATCTTTTTATTCCTTAAAATGTGTTTATACTGTATCTTTGCATTTTTAATCCTTGAGTGTTTTACATAAAATACTTCTGTTTGTTTGTTGTCATTCACTCTTTATTCTTACTTTTTACGCTCCGTTTTTGCTCTTTTAATGAATGTTGTTGCTGCTGTGACAACAAGGATAATAAAGAGACTTTACCGTTTTGTACTTATTTTTTTAATTATGATCGGTCACATGCAGGCTGAACATGAACATCTATACCCTTATTTCCAGCATTAGCCGCTGATAGAACATTGCTGGGTAAACGCTTGGATTAGAAAAGTCAGTTAATTCTGCCTCACGTTGAAAATTTGCATTCATGGACTCCAATCCATCAGCATTAGCATCTCCATCACATCACAACTCTTTCAGGCTTGAGTTATTTGTGGCGATAAAACATTAACATTGCAGAGCAAACCGAGTCCATGGTAGAGTTGTGTTGGTGTTAAACAATCAGAGGTGAGATATCTGAATATCAGAAAATAAGGCTTCAAAATCAGCTGTCTTCTGCTCACCTCTTCTGTCAACCTTCTAGTTCCTGAACAGGAGAACAAGAGAGCTGATTTTCCCACAGAGATCAATTCACAAGGCTTTCGTTTATGCAAGCGACCACAGCAAATGTGTTGAAACAGGAAACAGTAGAGAACAGCATGGCTTGTGGAAGCTAACCATTAGCAACTTTACCACACAGCAGAAGCTCCTTATGCAGATTTATAAAAAATCTATCAAAGACTTTTTTCAAAAAGAAAAATTAAAATATCACATGGTCCTAAGTATTCAGACCCTTTGCTCATTATAGAAGCACCCTTTTGAGCTAATATGGCGATGATTCTTCTTGGTAAAGATGAAACAAGTTTCTTACACCTGGATCCGGAGATCCTCTGCCATTCCTCCTTGCAGATCTTCTCCAGGTCTGTCAGGTTGGTGAATGTTAGTGCACAGCCATTTTTAGGTCTCTCCAGTGATCTTCAATTGGGTTTAAGTCAAGGCTCTGGCTGGACCATTCAAGAACATTCACAGAGTTGCCTTGTAGCCACTCCTTTGTTAATGTAGCTGTGTGCTTAGGGTCACTGTCATGTTGGAAGGTCAACCTTCAGCCCAGTCTGAGGTCCTGAGCACTCTGGAGAAGGTTCTTGTCCAGGATATCTCTGTAATTGTCCAAAATTCATTGTTCCCTTGAGTGCAACCATTCCTCCTGTCCCTACAGCTGAAAAACACCCACACAACATGATGCTGCCACCGCCATGCTTCACTGTGATGAGCAGTGCCTGGTTTTCTCCACATATACCGCATAGAATTAAGGCCAAAAAGTTCTATCTTGGTTTCACCAGACCAGGGAATCTTATTTCTCTCCATCGGGTCTTACAGGTGTCTTTTAGCAAACTCTATGTGGGCTTTCGTGTCACTTGCACTGAGGAGAGGCTTCAGACGGGCCACTCTGCCATAAAGCCCTGACTGGCGGAGGGCTGCAGTGATGGTTGACTTTCTACAACTTTCTCCCATCTCCTGACTGCATCTCTGGAGCTTAGCCACAGTGATCTTTGGGTTCTTCTTTATCTCTCTCACCAAGGCTCTTCTCCCCCGGTGGCTCAGTTTGGCTGGACGGCCTGCTCTAGGAAGGGTTCTGGTCGGCCCAAACATCTTCCATTTAAGGATTACGGCGGCCACTGTGCTCTTAGGAACCTTAAGTGCAGCAGAGATGTTTTTGTAACCTTGGCCAGATCTGTGCCTCTACACAATTCTGTCTCTGAGATCTTCAGGCGGCTCCTTTGACCTCATGATTCTCATCTGCTCTGACATGTGTAACATCCAGCAATGGTCAGTTTTCACCTACAGATTGACCCACATGCCACCGGTCATCTGCAGACATAGATTCCATTCTCTAAAGTGGATTTTACATCCTAGCTTCCAACAAGCCCAGAAGGATACTGCAGCCTTGTTGACATTTCAGGAGGAACAAGATGTCAGGCTGTGTTCCCAAACAAAGCCTTCTTTTGATAACACTGCAGGATTGCTCACTCTCTGAATAAAGGGACTATTTTCAGCCCATATGAGTTAATCAATCGTGAAATGAAATGAACAATAATGGTTGATGACTAATAATAATGTCTTGATTAATCTGTGCTTAAATTAATAAGGTTGATTAATCTGTGCTTAAATTACTGAAGTTTGAAATGAATGTTATTACATTGAAAGATTTATATATATATATATATATATATATATATATATATATATATATATATATATATATATATATATATATATATATATATATGATCAGTAATGTTTGATATGACAAGTGAATCATTATCTGAACTCAGACACAAGGTTCATTAGAGATAAATTAAAGTTAAGTTAAATGTCATGACACATAGATATTTTTTTAGCCACAAATCAGAGCATCCTGTATTTGAAAGAAGGCATGATGTTCTGAGGTTTGCTTGTCAACACCCCTTAACATGGCACGTCCCGGTTGGCCAAGAAATCATAATATGAGAATATAAAAGCAGAGCTCACTAGACGGTGAGTCAGTTCTAGAGAAAGCTACGGACAGGCCATCCGGAGCGAACCCTCTTTAACCCAGAGCATTTTTGACAAGCTGTCAAAAACCTGCTATACGCTGAAGCTGACACAGCAAACGGCTCTTGCAGAATAAAGCTGATACAGTTCAGACTCCGTAAGAGTCCTTCTAGATGCAAACCATTTCATCTATCAGTTGTGACTCGGAAACATCTCTGGACTGGAGAGTCGGTGCTGCGGGTAATCTACCAAACCTCAGTGCCCAGCGGTCATCCGACCTCCCTGACCTCCGGATCCGCGAAGAGGGTCTCCAAAGAAAGGGTGAGGTAGACACACAGATTGCGTCTGATGCCATTTTGATAAGAACCAACTTCATAGTTTAATGCAAACCAAATTCCTTTTCACACCCAGAACTCAGTTCTTCTAGATACAAGGTTCTGATAAACACACACCATTAAATCACCATACATCACATCCCATCCTCTTAGATTCATCCGCCACAGTAGCCTTGGTTAACTTGTCATGTTTTTTATTTGTTTAGAAAATAAATTTCTTATCTTTTATAAACCTGACTCTGTCTGAATTGAGACAAATTGTGTTTGATCCCTGAAAAAAGCAAAGAATCCTAGAATCTTCTGATTAAACATCCAAAGATCGAGCAGGTTGATATTCTATATTTATATAGAGTATCACAGCTTATTGGTCACAAGTAAAGATAGAATATTAAGCTTAAAAGCAACAACATTTACCCTCTACACATGCGTTGTGAGCTGTAGTCTTAGACAGGTGTGTGGCTTTCCTAATCAAGTCCAGTCAGTATAATCAAACACAGCTGGACTCCAATGACGGTGTAGGACCATCTCAAAGATGATCAGAAGAAATGGAAAGCACCTAAGTTAGATATGAGTGTCACAGCAAATGGTCTGACCTTGTGATATTTCAGTTTTTCTTTTTTAATAACTCAGCAAAAATTCCTAGTATGGGGTGCTGTGTGTATTAATGAGGAAGAAATTAATTTAATTGATTTTGGGGAATGACAGCAATGTTACAAAGTGCGAAAAATTGGCAGGGTCTGAATACTTTCTGTACCCACTGTATAGAAGAAATCATATTTGAAATGAAAAAAAAAAACTAGAAAGAAGAAATAAACTAACTCCACCAGGGTGCATTGTATCTGCCAGAGTGGAAGACATCATCAGTGAGTGCATGTCACTTAAAGAGGGGTGTGAAAGTTTGGGCAGCCTTGTTAACCCATTTGTGCCAAAACTTTGAGTTGTAATGCATATCATTTTATCAGTTGAGTCCCTCTGAATCATGTTATATATATATATATTTTTTTCAATTGTATACTTTTTTTTAAAGAAAATCACATTTTTATTGTTGCTAGTGGTCACACAGCTTGTCAGTAGGTGAAGTCACCTAATAATAGGAATAGAGAAGTAATAATATCTTCATAACCAGGGCCGACCCTAGGGCGATGTTTACCCTAGCACCCCCCTTCCCCCAACCTCACCCAGCACCCCCGGGGCAATGGCAATGCCCTCCTTATGTGAGGCATCATTTTGGCACCACCATGTTTTACTGTAGGTAGGATTTTTTCTTGGAATGCTGCGTTCTCTTTCCTCCGTGGATAACGCCGCTTGTTATGTCCAAACAGCTCAATTTTGTTTAAAGAGCAAGTCACCCCCAAATCACATTTTTTTTGCTGATAAACTATATAAAGGAGTGTCTAATCGTGCTGCAGACACATGTAGTCAATAATTTGGCAGTTCAGTGCATCTTGGTTAAAATTCAAATATTCTGCCTAAAACTGTCAGTATTGCGCCGTCATCAGGGAAAAATTCTGCACTGTATTTGAATTTAAATCTGCCACCGCTATTGGCTAAGAGGTATGCTATGATGTCATCTGGTACATTATGATGTCATAATGCCACTGTGAGCCTGTGTGTGTGTATTTGTTAGCGGCTCCGCCCTCTCGGTCTGCCAAGCAACAGCATTTGTTGCATTTTTCAAACATGAAGTGGGAGTGAAGTAAGTTTCTTGTAGGGGGTGACTTGCTCTTTAATCAGTCCACAGCACCTTATTCCAAAATGAAGCTGGCTTGTCCAAATGTGCTTTAGCATACCTCAAGCGGCTCGTTTGTGCTGGGCAGAAAAAAAAGGCTTCCTCTGCATCACTCTCACATACAGCATCTCCTTGTGTAAAGTGCGTTGAATAGTTGAACAATGCACAGTGACGTGATCTGCAGCAAGATGATGCTGTAGGTCTTTGTTGCTGGTCTGTGGGTTGAGTCTGACTCTTCTCACCGTTCATCGATTCTGTTCATCTGCGATTTTTCTTGGTCTGCCACTTGGAGCCTTCACTTGAAATGTGCCTGTGGTCTTCTATTTCCTCAATATGTTCCTAACTGTGGCAGCAGACAGCTGAAATCTCTGAGACAGCTATCTGCATCCTTCCCCAAAACCATGATGAACAATCTTTGTTTTCAGCTCATGTGAGTTGTTTTTAGACCCCTAGGTTGCTGCTCTTCAGAGAATATTCAAAGAGGGAAACTTACAATTCACCCCCTTAAATACAATAGAGTATTTATACAACATACAATATTGTACATTGACCTAATAAAATGCTTTCAATAACTATACAATTGTTTTAATAACCTTATAATACAATAGATCAGTCATTTTTTAAGCTTGAATCAATCAGTGAAAAATAAAAGCCAGTAAAACTGTGAAGTGGTACAACATAAATGGATCCTGAGGTCAAGTCACGAGGTTGTAAAACTCCGTTTGGCTAAAAAAGAATTCTTTCTGTAAAGATTAACCTGTTGAGTGAAAAAAGTACCCAGACACTTAGCGTAATATTATTAGTAATATCCAGTTTATTTGCCATTTCCAAATAACTCACAAAAACTAACTGAAATGTAAGCTCGACCTCTTGCATTCACAAACAGGCTACGTTAGTGGTTATGCTCAAATTAAGTAAACATGGAGGAAACATTGAACTCATGGCAAACATACACCCATCCGGCTATAAGGGCAGAGATGTTTAGCTTTATTCCGTAGTATTATTATAAAAGGCAGAACTAGTTATTTGGACATTCAGTTAGACAGTTTGCTCGTAGCTTTCACACAGATGTTGAAAATATTTGGGCCGTCAAGTTTATGACCTCATTTTTTACATGAGAATAAAGCAAAAATAATTAATTTCCTATAAAAACAAATGAAGGTGTTGTTACAGCAAGTGAGCACGATGGTGATCAGTAAGCTGCTGTGATGAAGACACACAGCTGTTAATATAACCTAAAGCCGCTCAGACCACATTAGGATCCTCAGTTTCTGTCACTTTAACTTGTGGGAGGGTAGGATCAGCGAGGGTTAGCCCTTAGAATGACTGAAACGGCTTTCCGTGTGCTCTGTCAAAGGCGTCCAAGCGTTTCAGGTTTGGCCTCCTTTTGTCTGAGCTTGACTCTCCCGTGTGCTTTTTGGTCAACGTCAAATATGTTTTCGTTCAGTTAGGAAGAGCCTGAACAGTTTGGGCATTAACTTTTATGGTCAGTGTTTTCTAGGAGCTATCTGAGGGACATTTCAGCCATTAGGAGTGTAAAAAAAGAAAAGTAATTACCATCCAAAGATGGCTTCCTGAACAGCCTCTGCTCTGAGAAATAGCACGTCGTTGGGATTTGATGGCCCTCTGAGTGATTTTGTTTGGCCCCTGATTGCATTTCGACAGCTGCGTTTCCACTATAGAACATCCAGGAAGCTTTCAGGACTTTGTTGACGAGTGCGTGCAAAAGCACGACACATTACAGATGGGGTTACGGTTTGACAAAACAACAAGTTGGCTTTTTATCTTACCTTGCCAAAATAAAAATGCAAAACTTTCTGGAATCCGCAAACGGCAGACTGTCACAGACGGGACCGGGGGGGGGGGGGGGGGGGGGTTATTTGTTTAGTCATGTGAACAGTGAATGAAATCATCTCAGAAGCATAAATGTGTGCGTTGTGTGTACATAATAACGTAAATTCAGCTTTAATAATTTTCATTTTAGACAAAATCTGATTATTTTAGAAGCATTAATGTCAGTATATCGGTATCTGCAAATACCGGTTATTGGCCATAACTGTGATCTTAACATTGGATATCGGTATCGGCCAAAAATTTTCATATCGGTGCATCACTAACCAGAAGTAATGTTTTTTTACTACGCTTCGTTGAAGACCACAAAGCACTGAGAATTACGGAGTGGGGGGGGGGGGGGGTCTGGCGTATTTTCGCCCAGTGATTCAACAGGGTGAGTTCTGAGTACATATCCCAGTTCAGGTACTCGACTGGTCCCTGAAACAGCCCAGAAAATCCTTTCTAGTCGGAAAGGCCATGCCAGGAAAGTCCGGTAAAGTTATCCAGAAGTTCAGGCAGTGGAAAGAGACATTATTATTCTAATTATCTCGATAAATATTCGTAAACCTGAAACCCACAAGCAGAACTCTAGGAACCTTGGCCCAAAAGACAAAATATTTTTTAAGAGTCTTCAAGGTCAAATCAGAGGCCATCCATGAAGCTCGAAGTAATTACTTAAAACTTTTACACAGAAACAGACGCTAAACTGGCTGAAAAACCCGTTAAATGCATCCGAGTTGTGGCGCGTCTATGAAGACTTGCCTCTTTAAAAGGCAGATTTTAAAACAAGGACGGTGCTCTGAAATATTCCACGGTTTCACATTTCCACTTTGCATAGACTCCTCATCTTTACTCTTGAAGACTGATTAGTGTGGATCTTCAACTCTGTCTGGCTATTAATATTACACAAAACCATCGTTTCAAAGTGTCTCAGTAAAACTAAGATTTAAGGGGAAATTTTCACTGAAGCTTTTGAAAACTGTCACACTGTTTTACCTTCATCTCACCTCTGAAACGATTCAGCTACAAAGAACAAAAATAAAAACAAGCACACGATTTTCATTATTATAACACAGCCTGGCACCAAATGTAGCAAAAGGAATAAAATTAAACTGAAGCACTGGCCGTCCAGGATTACAGGATGAGTGAGTGGGGATTATCCAGTTTCACATCCCACAGGAATTCCTAAAGCCCCCGTAACCCTGTTTAGTTGCACTCCCATGATAAGCTAGCTTACTCTATCTACTCAAACTTCGTAGTGCTGATTTCTTTATTCTCACTCACCAGAATTAGGAACTGGTCACTTATTTGTGAGCAGTTTTCTTTGGTGACTGACAGCTCATCCATTTTATTCCTAAATAATAAAAGTATTGAGTTTAAAACCACATAGGACCACATCTGGAAGCCATTAGTTTCATCGTAAGTGTCAGAACTTCACGTAGAAAAGACGTAGTGTTTCTGGAATCTCCTCTTATCAGAGCACCAGGGATTCCTCAGTCACAGCAGAAGGCAACGGCAGCCATTAGCCCGGCCTTTAGAAGCTAGGAGGCCAGTAACAAGTTCAGGTGTTGCTAAAATCCTTCTCGGCTTTAAGGGTTCGATGTGGTTTGTGCATTTTCGGAAGTGACTGAGAAAAGGGGGGGGGGAATACCCATATTTCTATAATCCAAGAAAAAAGAAAAATGACCCTTTGCAGACTAATATAGTGCTCAAGAACATTTCCAGGAGTAAAACAGGAAGGAATGGCATCAAATTTCAGCTCTGGTTTGGATAATGAAATGTTTAAATAAAGAAAAAATCCTCCCCAGGTTCAGATAAACTTTCATTTTTTCTTCTGTGGCAAATAGGGACCTGTGGTCGGTTTGCTTTTCCTACAAAGATGTTAAATTCATTAAATGGATTCAGGGCTTTCCTCCTATCTTCTTCCATTTAAAGTTATTTTTACTTGAACTCAACCTGCAGTCTGAGTACTTTATAAACAACAAGCGTTACAATGAAAGGTTCATTTAGGAGCTTCGGGGCACTGATGTATGACGGGATCTAAGGGCCGTTGTAGTTTAAATAGAACAGGAGCGGAACGTAGCAGGGGGGTTAAACTCCTAGATAAGTTGCAGAAATGCTGAGATTAATAAAATATTTTAATTTAAAAAAATGACCAGTGCCTACTGTTTTTGTTTGTTTGTTTGTTTGCATGAAGAAAATACTAATTTAATAACAAAAGTCTAAAAGTACAAAACTAGAACTGGTAGATGTTTGTTTTTAACCATAAATTTAACACTTTAAGAATATCTGGACATTCTTTTAATTTTCTACTTTATTCTTGGGAATTTTTAAGTTAATGATCAATTTAAAGGGACAATGTGCAGTTTTTACCGTTAATCTGGAAAGATCCATCGAAACATTGAAAATGAATAAAATAATGTCCAATCGTTGAAAAATATTGGTGGCTTCGTACCACATAACCATCAAAATCAGGTCTAAAGGGGGACGCCATATTAGATGCCATGTTTCCTTCTGGCCAGCTTGGGGTCCTGCGCCTGTCGATGACATCACACCAGATGATTGGCTGGAAGAACGGCTTATGGAAGTTACATTACCACGTTCAAAATCATTTAAGCAGTAAGAAACATGAATTTAATAACAAAACTGCTGAACTCTTTCCAAAACATGCATGAAAGAACAGAATAAAAAAAGAAATGAAATACATTTTGGCCGAGTGGTATTGCCGTAATAAGATGATGTCATCAGCAGGCGCAGAACTCAAGCAGTTCCGGAAACTACAGCGCCAGAAATCTAGCATCAGCATTCCTTTGATGGAATTAACTGAAGGATCATCAAAGTCTGAGGAGCCACGCCGAGGTTGCATGCTTTCTTCTCCGCAGGTAACGACATTTACTGTAATGTTTTTTTTAAACCAGCGACAGTCATGGCGATATGTTGTAAAATTACCCCGAAATGTATGTACTGCCCCCTAGTGCCAGGATACTACACACTGCCACTTTAAGTGTTTCAGTAAATTCACTTCCCTATATTTTTTTTTTCACAAATTTCTAACTTTAAAATGTCCATATCAGTTTTATTTTTGTGAATTTGTGTGTTTTAGATAAGGACATTTTCACACTTTTCCTTGCAAATGAAGGACTTTCAAGAACAATAATTGTATTTTTGTGTTTCTATGTAAATATGACATTAATCTCTACATTTCTTCTAGGATTTCATTCCCTCAGCTCTATATCCATATTTAATTTCTTTTAAATCAAAGACGGCCCCAATATGTTGTCAGAGTTTAAAAAAATAATAATAATAAAATAAAAAGAGTATTTGAATCCTAAATTATTTGGAGTGTCAGCACATAAAAAGTTAGAGTTATAAATGGTGGATGGAGTGCCGTCTTTACTACTTCCTGACACGGATGTCCTGTTAGCCAGAAACAGGAAGTGGTGTTCAGGTATGGGCACAAAATAAATGCAAAAGTCTGATAAATGTATATGTACACAAGCAGCTAACCTGCAGAACTTCACTATAAAATACAGCATCTCTCTCTAATTCTCTTAGCCAAACTTTTACTTTTCTTCTTCCCGTTCTTTTCTTTGCTGTCTTCCATTTTCCTCGCTCGGATCTCTCTCATCAGGTCAAAAAACACCTGGACAGAAATAAACAAAATAAAATCTTGTTCTATTTGCTCCAGGTAAACACGGTGGGGCGACTGTAACAGGTGTGCCAACAAACCTTGTCAACATTGGCGCGGGTTTTGGCAGAAGTCTCCACGTAGCACACCCCCCACTGCTCAGCGCGGGCCTTGGCTTCGTCCGCGCTCACCTGCCGCCGGTCGTCCAAGTCCGACTTGTTACCCACCAGGAGGAAGGGCACGTTCTCATCCTCCTTCACTCGCAGAATCTGCTCTCTGCAAAACAGAGACGATGGATAGAAACAAAGCTCTGTAGGTGGTTTGGTTTAGAACAGCTGATAAAACTTGAAGGGATTTCATTTTGATGCACCCGTAGATCCTCCACCAGGGGGCAGTAGACAGAGCTGGATTTGAAAGTGATGATTGTTCTGCAGTAATTAATGAATCATTGGATAAAAGCAGATGGCTGCACGGTGGCACTGCTGATAGCACTGTAGCCTCTCCACAGGAAGGTTGCAGGTTTGAATCCCAGCAGCAACATTCCTGAGCGGAGTTAGCATGTGCGGGTTTTTTTCACACGGACAAAAAAAAACGTTTACTTCAGGTTAATTAGACTTCATCTTGTTCCTAAGAGTGAGTGAGGAGTTGTTCGTCTCTGTGGTGGACTAGAGATCTGTCTAGGATGCCCCCCCCCCCCCCCCCCCTCACCTAATGACTGCTGGGGTTAAGCACCAGCTTCTACTGCTTTCAGATCACGAGTCAGTGAGAGGATTGACTGTAACATAATTATAAAATGTACCTGAAATCTACTGTTGCTGCGAACGACTCCAGTTCTGTGATGGAAAACACGCAGAGGAAGCCCTCTCCGCTACGGAAGTAGTTATCCCGGATGGCTGCGTAGTCCTCTTGGCCAGCCGTGTCGAGGATGTCAATCTGCACCTCCTCCCCGTCCAGCACCACTTTCTTCCTGTAGCTGTCTGCTTTAGTGGGCTCATAGTCCTCCACAAACTTCAAAGAAACATCAGCAGTTAAGATGAAAAGGCCTAAAATGAGTAAATCATTCATTCACCACTGCGATGCACTGACCTCGTCATACATGAACTGGAGGGTGAGGGCGGACTTCCCCACTCCTCCACTGCCCACCATGATCACTTTGTGAAGAGCTAGTGAGTTCTGTCCTTTTGGCTTCGCAGCTGCCATGACTCTGCGTTGATGCGCGTGTCGGGGGGAGAAAGCTCAAGGTGATGGGAGGAATGGTGAAGAGGTGAGAGGATTCCAGGTGAAGCAAAAGGCTCGATGAAGACTCCTGTGGGGGTTGAATGAAAGAGAGAGAGAGGGAATTTGCATCATGAATTCCAAAACCTGCATTTAATTTCAGCAGGTAAATCGACAGGAGAAAGTTGTTTTACAACAAATGTGGTGCAGGAACACAACAGATAGATTAAAAATATGATCCCCCCCCCCCCCCCTTCATTCCTCACATTTTCCTCTTTGAAATGCAATATTAACTCATTCACTGCCAGTGACGACTAAAGTCGTCATTTGCATTTTTTTACTGTTTGAGCATCAGAACGAGCCCCCGCGCTGAGAGAACAAACATCTCAGCCCTGAAGCCGATCTTCATCCACATACGCCAGACGTCACATGATCAGGTAGCAGATCATCCATGTAATTAGGAGATCGTTTTGGGCCGTTCCTGTTAAAAAAGTGAGGCGCGAACCGGAAAAGCTTCCGCCGATCACAATTCAACAACGGATTATGAAAGAACGGATAACGCTGGAAACACACGGATTCTTCCTGATGTAAGAGGTGAGTCTCCTCTGTTTCTGTTGTTTGGGCGTCGACATCATCCTAGCGCGCAACGTTCTGTGACTCTTAAAAAACAGTAAAAATGGTGAGAAACGCTGGCAGCGAAGGCCGTTAGCGATCAGGAAACAGCTGGCAGTGAATGAGTTAATGTAGAAAAAGTGCTTGAGCACAGCTGTGTTACGCAGGCATAAAAGGAGTCTTTCACAGGTTGGATTAGAGAATTTCTAATGATGGACAACTCCGTTGGCCGAAAATCTTATAATCCACAGGTTTAAACTCAATCAACGCAGAAAAATCTCTTTTTGCAAAGATGAAAACGTTAGAAGTCATTTTCAGGCTGGAAGCAGCGCAGGAAAAGAAAAAAACATAGTTGTTCATCATTTTAGGTGGACGCTGAAACAAATCCTGTGGTCTGAATAATAATTGTAGGAGAGGACGGAACTAGACTCCTTTTCCTAACAAACGCTGTCAAAATAAGCATCTGATTTAAAATAATAATAATAATAATTCACACACTGCCAGTGATGGTAAGCTACTATGTAGCCACAGCCGCCCTGGAGCGGCCTGACAGAGGCAAGGCTGCCATTTGGCGCTGTCTGCCCCTCTGACCACCACTAACACAGGCAAGATGGGTGAAGTGTCTTGCCCAAGGACACAACAGCAGAATACCCCTGGCGGGAGCTGGAATCAGACCCATGACCCTCCGATCATGAGGCAACCCGCTCTACCACCTGAACTACTGCTGCCCTAAATGCTCTTTTATGTAAATTACAAACTGCTTCATTTCAAATCAAACAATCCGACTATAGCCGTGTGACGAGCAGCAAGTCATGAGGAATCGTAAGACCTGGTGGTGTTTCCCTTTCTTTGACAGCGTTGAGTCAACTCGGACACATGCTACAGTTATTTAGAGGTCAGATTGTCAGTACGAACGACCCACAACCACCATGACAGAAGCAGGATGTCCAGAAAAGTATGTTTCCTACCCAGGCCAGGCAGACCTCTGGGGATAAATAAGGGAATGATGCCAATAGTTCATTAGCCAAATTAACGTAGAAATCTATACCCTGGAAGTCAATACAACGATTGGTGAGGCTCTTTTAACTAAATTAATCTGGACATACAATAAGAGCATGGGTGGAAATGAAGGCGATCATTCATAATGTGTTTAAATTTAGATCATTTCTTGACAAAGCTGCACCGTCACGATACAAAACTCATGTTAGGAAGAGGGCAGATGAAAGTAAAGAGACTACACGGACCACAGCGTGACCAAACCTGTAAAAAAATAATCTGTGAATCATTACATTGCACATAAATAACGACAAAAGCTCGGTGGGGTTTTTTCGATGCTAACTTAGCAGACTGAGAGCTGTATCCAAATTCTTACAGTAAAATAGGAAGAAGTCATAAATAGCAGTAATCATCACGTCAGCGTTAACTCGTTACCAGGTTTACATTTTAACTGTTATTAATCTAGCCACAGTGGTAGATTAAGTGGGCTATGTGGCTAAAAGGCTAACCAAACCCAACAAGCCAGCAGGTAAACGTCACCTGATTTGTAATGAGCAGCTGAGGGAGGTCAGCCTAATTGTAGCGGCTCCGAAAACGTCTGAAATCCCAATTTTTGACAAATTCCAGCAACAGATGCTCGGTCGATGCTCTCAAATTCAGCAGCAAGCTAGCACCACAGCTAAAGCCAAGCAAGTAGCTAACTACAACATAACCACGTTAAAAACGTAAAAGCGTGACTAGCACGCACAATTGAAAGCTCTTCATTTGCGCGAAAAACCACCTACCTGTTTCAAGAAAGCTTAAATCGAGGCGGAGAAATAAAAATAGCTAGCTGTTAGTTAGCTCATGGCTAGCTTCGTGGCTAACTCAAGGGACTGTTAGCAGCAGACTGACTGAGCGTCCTGTGGGCTTGGCTCCGTCTGACAACGCCCGCCCGTCGGAGACAACCAGACAACAGTCCGTTTAACTCCGATTTTCACAAAATAACGATAAAATAATCTCGTGGTAACCCGCCTGGTGCATAGAAAACCGAAAACACATCGCATATGACTGAATAATAAGTATGATGATGGCACGTGAGCAGCTAAGGAATTTAAAATTCGTGTTTTTGTTTAAAATTTTAATACAAATTTACTGTACGTTTTACGGTTACAGCCAAATACACAACTTCATTTTTGATGGAATTATTTGATTGTCTTTCTTTTGTTAAGTGATGAAGGACGCCATAATTTCCAACCTGCACACCAAGTTCGCAGAGAAGACTTGGAATGATACTTTTCAGCTGGTTCGAAGATGCATGGTGAGACAAACGTGCATCTCAACAAAACTCAATTCACACGTTGAAGTGTGGTCCAGTGGACCGGTTTTTAATAAACATCTTACCTGTTGAAGATGGCTCTGAACAACCTCAGTTTGGAGAAATGGGTTTGTTTTGATTGACCTAAAGTGCTGGGACACAAGAATGTGTAGGTTTTACCATTAATCTCTGGAAATCTCAATTGAAATATTGTTGAAAATGAATTAAATGACGCTCAGTTGTTGTAAAATATTGGTGGCTTTTTAAAATGTAACCATAAAAATCGGGTCTAAAATACATGAGAGCAGGTCTAAGTATCTGGGTGGCGCCATATTAGACACAGTGTTTACTTCTACAGGAGCTCATGAGGACAAAACACATTTATTGATTTAATAATACATTCCACCCAGAAGTATATCGACTAGCTTCATCTCCTTTCTGCTGCAAATAACTGCAGAATTTTCCATATAATGTGAAATTTATGGATAAATCACCTACAAAAGATCAGATTAGATATTTTTCTTTGCTAAACTGTGACCTAGACTGGGAGATCAGCTGTGAATTTGTACCCTTTGTGCTCATGTGGTCCAGTTAGATCATTCATACTGGAACACACGAGTCTTTGTTTCAAAATAGAGAAACACAGCGGTTTGACACTTTTCTTGAACTTTTTATTTCTTCCTGCAACGTTTGCATTTATTCTGGCCTTGTTCTAGCTCTAAATGCAGATTTCTGCTGTCTGGGTGAACACAAGTTTACATTTTGTGTAGATTTCAGAGTTCAGATGGTGCATGTTAACACTGCAAGGCTGAGACTGTGAAAAAAAGTGAGTTAGTTTTCTTTAGATTAGTCACGGGTGGAGCAGCAGAGTAGATAATGCTTGTGGATTAATCTAAAGTGGAGCTTGGCAGTGGCTAGTCTCTGGAGTCCGGTTGGGAAGCGTGATTATTCTGTGGTCTGGAGTGATGTGTGGTCCGATGGGATAATGCTGCATTGGCTAGTTGGCGCTGATGGACCCAGAAAGGTTTAAAGCGTCTCAGTGTCAATATTTCTCTTTGCCATGGTGTCACGCAGCTTTGTGTTCCACGGTGGCACGGGCAGGCTGTTGACACAAGCCTCTCACTGCAGTACAACCAGCCCTTTGTTGGCGTTTTAACTCCCTTTTTGTCTCACAACAGGAGAAATCCAGAGATGAGTCCAAACCTTGTGAACCTCTTGTTAGAGCTCTGGAAAGAATCCAGAAGGTGCTTCATGGTAAACAAACACACGTTCGCATCATGTGTCTGAGAGCATGGATCTGATGGTTTTTGTTCTGGTGTTCCAGCTTCCTCTCTGAGCACCATCATGTCACGGTTGGAGATGATAGCCAAGCAACAAGGGTAGAATTCACTGTTCTCTGCTGTTCTTTTACTAAACTAGATCTGTGTCGTAAAATGATCTATCTGCATTCTAAAGGATGGGCTTCCACATCACCGAGTCCACCTGCTACCTGACAGCTGACCTGTTTTATGTGGAGGTGTTGCTGCTGCCATGTGGTGAAGTGCAGGAGGTGAAGGTGGCTCCACATGGAGAACCTCCTGCTGTATGTCTCCAATAAGCACTCTAAGCACCACTTTCTTTTGATATTTGTGATAATTTTATGCATTTCCCCCCCAATAGTCCAGCAAGTTCCTTCTTCATCTGCTGAGGTGAGAGGTAGTTGTCTTAATTCCTATTAGACGTTTATGTTTCTGAGATTTGCTGCAGGAAAATTATGCAAAAAGGAAAAATGGCTGCACCGGTGGTGGTTAATGGCACAAATAAACTGTCCTCACCTTTTTGTTGGGTAATTCTCGAATCTTCATTTAACAAAATAGTTTTTAGAGATGGGATAAGTTGCACATCTGCTGCTTTTATTCTGAAAAAAAAGATCACTCTCCAAAGAAAGAAAACTGACTAAACATGAGGAGCTTCAGTGCAGAGCGATGGACCAGGGAGTCTGACCTAAAACGTCCTAAAATCCAGACTGTTTCATTTCAAAGGTCCCAAAATTTTGCAGATTTCTCCGTGAGGTTGAGATGCCTGTTTACCCAGTATGACATCCCCGGAGACAAGTATGTATCCACTATTAAAATATTATTTAGTTCTTTTTTTCTGATTTGAGTCTCTTGTGGGGCTTTAGCAGCTTTTGTCACTTTTTCCCAGTGAAATGAAGTTAAAACTGTTGACGTCACTTCAGCATCTCTGGAAAGACCTGCAATTAATATCAGACTTGCAAAAGTAGGTAAATATTTTACTATTTTAAAGGCAAAATAATTGGAATTTAATTATTTGTTTTTGCAATCAGGGAATCTAAACAATTTGACTCCCAAATGGATTTGATCAACTACGGCAAGGTTGGCCTTTTAATCACAGGAAAGGAAGGTACAGCGATAAATTAGCCAAGTATGCATTTATAAATAAAACATTTAAAGTATGTTTTTAAATTCCAGATTTTTCTATGGCTCTCCAGTTTTACGCCCCGCCCACTGATGTCCTAAAAGCCTCCAACTCATGTAAGAAACAAACTTTAAAGCAACACTAATTAAGTTTCTTCCTTCTTCTCCCTACTGGTTTAATGCTGAACGCTAACGGTCGTAAGCAAGCCTGCTCTAGCTAGTGGTAACAACAAGCTAATGCTAACACAAGCTAATGCTAGCTTGATCATGAATAACCTATGAAGTGAAAAGATCCACACTGTTGGACTATAAATATTACAAGTCTAGTAGCAACAATGCCAGGTCACCATCAGTCTGATTTCGTAGCCTCCTTTACCACCCTCAAACGATAGGCGCCATTGTTCACCCTGGTTTTAGCTCTTTTCTTTGCCTCCACAGACTTTACTTTCTTAAAACCCCACCAAATTCTTCTTCCTCTGACTTGTCTGCGAACTAAAACAAGCTAACTGCTAGCTTTTACATTAGCTACTGACAGTAAACAGCTATTGCTATAAAACAGGTAGAGGCCACCCACAAGTGTTCCTACCCAAACCATAAACCTAAGTCCAGTTTCTGGTCACCAGAGGACTACAGAGTGTTGTCCGTGAAGCTGCTCAAGTTTCTAGCTCAATACCTACTATAAGCAGTTTGAAAGCAATAGCTTAAAGTGTTAAAAACTCTTTAGTGTTGCTTTAAAAAAGACACATTCAACCTTTTTCTTGCAGTTGAATTGTGATTTTCTGTTCATGTTTTTATAAAGCTGATTTGGAACCAGGCATCCAGGCAGCCCAAGTTACAGTTGGCCTCAGCAACGTGACTCTTAAACTTCCAATGGCGTCTGTCATCCTGCAGCCTCCTGCACTGGATCCCCAGGGGTTGGTGTTTTAGTGTTTTAATCTCTCACTCAGCTGGACTTTTTTCATTTCAGCGAGTCTTTCGCACAGCCGCTGGAGCTAACAGTAAATCTGTCCTGCATGGGGCAGCTGTCCTGTGTTTGCTCCGCTCAGTGAGGTGCAGAATGAGACGTTCCTTGCCTGCTTCTTGCTCAGGCTGCAGCCACCAATCCCTCTGATGATGCCTTTTGTTGAGAAGCTCAGACAAATAACAGGTTAAACTATTTTTGCAGGTTCAAATGTAGTAACAAACATATTTTTACACTGATGCTCCTGTCATATAGATATTGCTGTACCTGATGCTCACCTGCAGGGGTCACCCTTACCCCAGCTGCTTGTAAGATCACCAAATGCATGCTGGAAGGAGATTTTTACAGTGGTATGAGTATGCATTGACTATTTAATAAACTTAATTCTACAGTTTTAGTTATTCAGTACTCGTTTTTCCAGCCCTCTCCTGGCGGCCCGATGCACAGTTGCATTTTCCCTGAAGCTGCGTGGGATGTACCCACACAGAAAGCAGTCTTAGTGGACAGGGTTCCCTTCACTCAACCAGCCCACATCCCATCTCTGCTGGAGCTGCTGCGCCATCAGTGTGCCATTAACACCCTGCTGAGGACCTGCACCTCCGGCCGGCGCTCCAGTCCAGGTGTGATGTTAACAAAATATGCTAGGCTGCTGATGTCCTTTTATTTGTGTTTCACTTTACTGATGCGGATCCCTTCAGGTGAGATTGGTGACCTGCCTTATGAAGTCCTCCCAGAGTCTTCTACCAGCTTTTCGGTGACCTTCCACCGACCCCACGCTGACTCCCTCGCTGTCTGTGAGCACCTGTTTTATGTTGATTATTTTTGTTTTACTGAGATTAAACCAGTCTCAAAAATCTGTTATTTACACACAAATCTATAGTTAGCTGTAGCACCGTTAGCACTCGGAGTACATGTTGTTAATGGCTTTCAGCTACATAAATGTCACATTTAAACTTAGTATCTTTAACCCCCCCCCCCCCCCCCCCCCCCACTGTCCTAATGGGTGTGACCCCGCGAGGAAAGCCCAAGGGATAAACCATCAACCCTGCTCAATGGTCAACTTTCCTCGCGGGGTCACACCCATTAGGACAGTGGGAGGGTTAAAAATGACTGAGTTGTAGCCATTTTGTGTTTGGGAAGGTCGATTGGCTATGGCGGCCATCTTGAATCCCAAACAAACTGTAACAAATTGTGGCTTTAGATCTGGTGATGTAAGACTCATTAATAATCCATTCAGAGGCTCATGAGATATTTAGTCCATAAAAAAACCAAACATGGTCATGATCAACTTCAGTCTTTACTGTAGTCTGACTAGCTGTTATCTTATCAATCTTATTACAACTAAAGTATTTCTCTAAACTGAGGCTGCTCAGAGAGCTATCTGCAGAGGAGAAAACTGATGAAAGAAAATCAAAAAGATCTCAAACAATCTGAACCATCCCTTAGTCCAGCTAGAGTTGTAGTGCACCAGTAGGTGATGGAGCATCATGATCTCCTTCGTCTCTACAGTGATGGTGAGCGTTCCCAACCCACGTCGGATTACTTGCAAGCTGTTTGGTGTAGGAATATGTGACCTGTCGCTGGATGAACACATCTCCACAGTTATGAACAGGTTTTTTTTTATTTTTGTATCATAAATTAACTCTTTTATGGTTTCAGAGCTTTTCAAATGATATTCTTAATTCGTCTCGGCTCTAGTTGCATGTCCATCCCTGTGACCATGACGACGTTATACGGCAGACTGGAGGAAATCTTCTCTGTCGCCACAGAAGTAGAAAAAGACTCCTCGAGTCCTGCGATGGACATCAGCTGAGAGTCGCCCACGCTTGTCCAAGGGACGACCGCGCCAGAGGACAGCGTCTGTGTTTGTGATTCAGCCAAATCTGAGCTGCTTTCTGGAATAAACTCCAGCGCACCTGACAACACTTAAACATTCTAGCTGTGGGTGGGTTTCCTTGGAGATGATATAAACATGAAAAAGTGTGGCATCATTTGTTTTCTTCACCCACTTTATCCAAGAAATGTGTGCTGCGACTCTGCGTTTGTCCGGTGGAGATGCTGATATGCAGCCACTGGAGGTTGGATTTGTCTTGTTGTGCATTCCAGAGTGGCACAGATTGCTAGTTATAGAGGTTTGAGGTCTGAGATTTGACCTCAGATGGCCAGAAGCCCAGCTGCTCGGTACCGGCCAAGCCAATCTAACACTTTAAAGACGTTCTGGATGGCTTTAAAGCAAACACATTAAAATGAGAAGCATTTAGGATGTGTTTGTGTTGAATGAGATTTCCAAAAGCATTAAAAAGGTATTTTGGGGCATTTTTAGACATCTCTGCATTAGAATTCGATAGGATTTCAGAAATGACCCCTGAAATCAGCAGGTGATTGGAATCTGTGGTCATGCTACCAACATTCAGACATTTAATAAATTTTTTGTGACATCGTCATTGCTAATCACTAATCCATGCTAGCAATAAGGAATCGCTCATGTGGAAATTTTACTTGCTGGACCACAGCTTTCTAGTTATCAGATATTTTAAGTGTATTTGGTAATTATAGTTTTGAGCTGCATCAGAATTAGCCAAAATTCACATCTTCATTTCCAAGTAACTTCACTTCCTGAATGGCCCAGGACTGATAGGCTAACAGCCAGTCAGAGCTCAGTTAAGGCCAAAGCAGTTTGCTTCCATATTAAAACAATTCCAATTTCCTAAGTTTCCCATCAGTTCATCCAAAAGTTATGTTCGAAACCTCTACTCTGCCATCAGTTTAGCATAAAAGGGTTACTTCAATGGAAGCATTAGCAGTTACTGCTACATTTGACCCCTAAATGCACCAAAGTGCCTGCCTGGCAACCTATCCTATATACAGTCAGGTCCATAAATATTGGGACATCGACACAATGCTAACATTTCTGGCTCTATACACCACCACAATGGATATCATGAAACGAAGAAGACGTGCTTTAACTGCAGACTGTCAGCTTTTATTTGAGGGTATTTACATCCAAATCAGGTGAACGGTGTAGGAACTACAACAGTTTGCATATGTGCCTCCCCCTTGTTAAGGGACCAAAAGTAATGGGACAATTGGCTTCTGAGCTGTTCCATGGCCAGGTGTGTGTTATTCTCTCATTATCCCAATTACAATGAGCAGATAAAAGGTCCAGAGTTCATTTCAAGTGTGCTATTTGCATTTGGAATCTGTTGCTGTCAACTGTCAAGATGAGATCCAAAGAGCTGTCACTATCAGTGAAGCAAGCCATCATTAGGCTGAAAAAACAAAAGAAACCTTTCAGAGTGATAGCAAAAACATTAGGGGTGGCCAAAACAACAGTTTGGAACATTCTCAAAAAGACGGAATGCACCAGTGAGCTCAGCAACACCAAAAGATCACGGAAAACAACTGTGGTGGATGACCGAAGAATCCTTTCCCTGGTGAAGAAAACACCCTTCACAACAGTTGGCCAGATCAAGAACACTCTCCAGGAGGTAGGTATATCTGTGTCAAAGTCAACAATCAAGAGAAGACTCCACCAGTGTGAATACAGAGGGTTCACCACAAGATGTAAACCATTGGTGAGCCCCAAAACAGGAAGGCCAGATTAGTTTGCCAAACAACATCTAAAAAAGCCTTCACAGCTCTGGAACAACATCCTATGGACAGATGAGGCCAAGATCAACTTGTACCAGAGTGATGGGAAGAGAAGAGTATGGAGACGGAAAGGAACTGCTCATGATCCTAAGCATACCACCTCATCAGTGAAGCATGGTGCTGGAAGTGTCATGGTGTGGGCATGTATGGCTGCCAGTGGAACTGGTTCTCTTGTATTTATTAATGATGTGACTGCTGACAAAAGCAGCACGATGAATTCTGAAGTGTTTCGGGCAATATTATCTGCTCATATTCAGCCAAGTGCCTCAGAACTCATTGGACGGCGCTTCACAGTGCAGATGGACAATGACCTAAAGCATACTGCAAAAGCAACCAAAGAGTTTTTGAAGGGAAAGAAGTGGACTGTTTTGCAATGGCCAAGTCAATCACCTGACCTGAATCCGATTGAGCATGCATTTCACTTGCTGAAGACAAAACTGAAGGGAAAATGCCCCAGGAACAAGCAGGAACTGAAGACTGTTGCAGTAGAGGCCTGGCAGAGCATCACCAGGGATGAAACCCAACGTCTGGTGATGTCTATGTGTTCCAGACTTCAGGCTGTAATTGACTGCAAAGGATTTGCAACCAAGTATTGAAATGTATAAATTTGATTTATGGTTCTTATTCTGTCCCATTACTTTTGGTCCCTTAACAAGTGGGAGGCACATATGCAAACTGTTATTCCTACACCGTTCACCTGATTTGGATGTAAATACCCTCAAATAAAAGCTGACAGTCTGCAGTTAAAGCACGTCTTCTTCGTTTCATTTGATATCCATTGTGGTGGTGTACAGAGCCAAAAATGTTAGCATTGTGTCGCTGCCTCAATATTTATGGACCTGACTGTATGTAATTATATAGTCTGGCCATGACTCGTAGACAGATCAGTTGGTGGACGGAAGGTCTGCATGCAATTGGACAGGACTAGGACCAACCAGAGCAATGAACATGTCACTCATCGCTATGGTAATCAGTCAATGGAGTACTCCACCACACACTGTCCACCCAACGTCTCTAAATCAGAGTGCTGTGATTGGGCCAACTTAAAATTGTTTGGGCCAATGGTAGACCTGTTGAGGCTATAATGGAGCGTGGCTAAGCCGACCAGCAGAGCCAAGTCTTTTGCTACAGATTTCTAGGCTAACCAAGTGCTATATTTTTCTGATAGTAATATTTATGCTTGTAAACAACCTTTAAAGATAGCAGCAATCTGTTTAACTTATCCTGCTCGTCATAAAAGCAATTACTCTAAACTGAGGCTGCTCAGGAAGCTAGAACTTTTATACCAAAACTCTACAAAATTCAAGAAAATCCCAGTTAAACTACTTAAAATTTCTAGAATTATTTGTTTTGACTAAATCAAATGTACAATGAAGAACAAGAAGAACATCGTTGATGCTGCAAGATGAGACGCCAAAAACAAATGACTACGGTAGTTTGAGATGTAGTGGGAGTAATTTTACTACTTTATGCACATAAAAGACTGTGTGTGTTTTATGTAGATCTTTCAGCTCCGTGCACATGGAAGGGGATTGTTCAGAATATTTGGTCAACTGTCAGCAGGAGACAACTGGCTTTGTCTGGTAACTTTGCTCTTAGGTATCCAATGACCTGCCGGGCTGCTATTCATAGGAACACACCACACATGTTGGATAAATGGCTCTCTTCTTAGGATCTGATCCTCTGACTGTTAGGGATTATGTGTCATTGGGTCGAGAATAACTCTATAAAAGTGACACATGTCCTGTGTGGTTCCCAGCAACAATATGTTACCATTTGAGCATTTCTGAGTCACGATCTTGGCCTTTTTAGGTCTTTTTTCATCCCTTCCATCAACATCCAGGCTTCTCTAATTGGTGCGCGGTCCCTTTAAATCCGGATCCAGCGGGAGCGGGGGTCCGCTGCGCGTCCTCGCTCACCCGGCTGGCCGCCGTGGCTCGCCCGCACTCATCCCGATAAAAAAGCTTCTTACCATTTTAGGGAACTTCACGAAGTTTTCTCGGACCTCCTCGAAACAGGGACTTTTGTTTGCAGCGCTGAGACTCAGCGGAGGTTCGCGTTCATGGACAAGCCTGCACCGCTGGATTCTCGGTTTGCGTAACTCTGGGGCGTTCTCAACATCTGGATTAACTGTTTGAAGCCAGAGATAACGGTCCTGCACATTAAACTCTGCCTGCGTTGCCATTTTTAAATGAAAATACTGCCTTCATTTTTTTTCACCCTGGAGTTCAGCCTGACAACGCGAGTGTGTGCGCATAGATTATGTATTCTTTAAAATGGGTGCGAACAATGGAAAACTGTACGGGAGCGAGGGTAAGTCCACTCTAAAAAAAACTATAAACTCACACTAGGGGGAAAAATGTCGCAAAGTAACAGTTGGTGACGTCACTCATAACTAATAGCTAGTTTAAAATGAGCACAAAAACATTAACGCTAACTCTAGTTTGTTTTCATAATTTATCCCGCTGCTTTGACCTGTGTGTAGCTGATTTCCATTTTAACATGTAATTAGTACATTTTCATAACTTTTTATCTATGTGGAATTTTTATATTGTCTAAATTACGCAGCGTGACATCTGCTGGACGTGTTTCGCATCTAATGCTGAAAAATGATGCTAGCTGCGCGTGCCAGTTTTGGTTTTCTTCTTCGGATCTGAAGCAATTACCTCCACTTGACCCCATTGTTCTTTTGGTTTATGCTAGAAGTTCACAGCTCCTTTATGAATCTACAGCGGGGAGTTTATTGCGTCCAGTAGTTTTGAAATATACTAGTTTTAATTTATCATTAGCAGAAATATTCACTTTGTAACCCAGACACAGATTAATTTAGATACATTGTTAGATTAAAAACAGGTGGGTTTATATTCTCGTTTATTTTTGGCTTGTTTTTATTAATAGGAAACGTTTATTTCCCACATGGAGGTGAATAAGAGGATGTGAGTGCTTGCTTTTTAGGACATGTTCTTATCTTGACAAGAGCCAATTACTGGGATTTTTGTTCATAATCCCAGATCCTGTTGTTCTTGGACTTGGGAGCTATTCATTTCATATGGGTCAGCTCATATCAAAGTTGTAAATAATATGGTAAATCCAGTTTCCTTGCAGAATTCTTCTGTTTCGTGTTCTTTATTGTCTCTTCTAAAAGTTTCAGATCAGCAAAAACACTTCAGTATAGGACAAATATTCATTTTAGCCATCTAAAACAAACTGGCTCTACATGAATTGATAGATTAACCAGATTATTTGGAAACTTGAGTTCACTTCTACTAGCCACACCAGGCCTGATTACCACCACACCTGTAGAACCAAGACAACATGAGGTAGGCTGAAAGTTCTCAAAAAGCAACACACCATGGCCTTTTTTAGTAAGAATTTAAACTGGAAAGCTCAGAACAGATCTGTGTTCTGTTGTGGTGTAAAATGAACTCTGCAATTCAGAAAAATAACAGTCAAGCATGGTGGTGGCAGTGTGATGGTCTGAGGCTGCCTTGCTGCTTCAGAACTTGGACCCCTTGCTGTTTTGACCTTTGACCTTGCTAGAAAACCTTCCAATATGGCTGAATTTTTAAATTTCAGCAAAGACAAATGGAGCTTAATTCCTCCCCGTCATTGTGAAAGATTTGTAAACAGTCCAAAGGTGTTCCAACCAGTCATTCACTTTAGCAGCAGTTACTTCACATTACGTACTCAGGTTTGTTTGAACAAGTTTTTTTCACTTAATAAAAGAAATAATCATTTAGGCTAATTTAGTAAAACTTTGCAACAACAACAGTGTTTTTGACGTCTGGATGATTATTTCTGTTAGTGTGTAACTATTTCAGTTTTTAAAGTGCATAAAAATGAAAATTTTTCTTGTTCGGTAGTTTGCAGAAACCATAAAAATCAAACAGCAACTTTCCTGACATTTTTTGTGATTAAATTTAGAGATTTCGATATCTGTTCATGCAACTGTTGACCCAACTCAAATTTTATTTTTATGAAATTACTCAGTTTGCCCTCATACCACAAAAAACAACTCATCTAACTTAACTACAGTTAATATTTGGACATTATTTTGGGTGTTACCACCAAAAGAGTATTTACATTCATCTTGTTTTTATCTCTTGCACACATTTCTGATTTCATGAAAGAAAAACAGCTGTCCAGCTTAACCAAAGGCCTTAGAGAGATGCTTTTGCACATAACATTCCAATGAGCTCTATCCCTAAGTCCGGAGGAAAGGTCGGACATCGGGGTTTTAAAAAATAACATGTGGAGCAACTCCACTTCGGAGGTCAGTGTGTAACCGTTTCTAGCTGATCAGCGCTTTTCACAGCAGCTTTATTTATATGGTACATTTCGTACACAGAAGCAATTCAATGTGCTTTCCAGGAGCAACATCAGCAAGAACATAAAGCATAAAAATCAACGTGACAACATAAAACAGTTGATTATAAAATTCAATTTAAAATACACAAATAAATTCAATGATAGAAATAAATAAAAAAGCAAAGTGAAAGACTGAGCAGTTACAGTGCAGAAGGTGCAACATAAGAAATAGTCATTCAAAGGTTGATGAATACATGAAAGTTGTCTGTGTTGATATAAAGCTGCTTTAGCAAATTTACAGAACAAGCAGGGTTTTGAATGCAAACATGGTCACAGAACACTCAGCCCTCCCCTTGGGTATGGGGAGCCTAAATCACGCCCATCTACTTCCGGACCACGGGTCTTCGGAAGAACAAAAACATTTATGCAAGTCAATAGAGCTAAAAACGTTATTTTTTATTCCTGTTTGTTATGTGCCGTGGATTTCACATATGATGTCTATGAATTTTAAAGACACATTCTGATGCTGAGAAAGCACTTATTTTCAAACAAGGGCAAAAGTTATTTTAGGTTTTGTGTGAAAATATGTCCTTGACTACAAATGGGCATCAGCAAATTGATGTAATTGTCGGGCTGACATCTGATTTGTAGTCCTAGGAATTACAAATTTTTACAAGCTGATAAATCTCAAAGTACGTGACAGACGTGGGTGAAACACCCATCGTTACTTTTCATTTAAATTGAAGTGCAACATGTGCGATTCAGGGCATAAGGCAAAGCAGATTAGAAAATAGCTCTTTTAGCCCCATTGACTTGCATTCCCTGAGACGCTTCTGCTGGAACCAGATACCTGTGATGCCGGGGAATACGAGATAGTGCCAAACACCAGTCGCAGTTTTCTAGGTCCAAATGACTTATGTTGTCCGTGACTTCAAATTGTGGTTTTTCTTTTGGGACTCTGGTAGTTTGTCCCAAAGTTGAAGTGGTAGCAGCCGGCTGTTTCTCCTTCTCTGATAATATGGAGCAGAGAACCTCCAATCCAGTGATGTTCAGTTGCTAAATACATTAGTCTGTAATCAATGAAGGACCCAGGAAAGTGCAGCTGACAACCGGATGGTCCAGTAGTTGCTTTCTGTCTGAAACGTGTTAATGGTGGAGATTTTGAGACAAATGTGAGAGAACCATTTAATTTATATATTTATTCATTATTAAGGGTCCTGCAAGCAGTGCCCTTGTTGTTATGCTCCTAGGGGGAGTTAGACATTAATCACCTTTATTTTTCTTCTTCCACGGACATTAATGCGGCTCAAATGGCTGCGTGCACCCCCACAAATTATACATCAAAACGAGTGGCGCAGGTGTGGGCGGTGTGCTATTACTTTACTAAGTGATCTGATTTACTATGGCGAAATTATTAGTAAAAAACTTTGAAGAATTTCTCATTTTTGGGCAGACTGAATTACCCTTTCAAACTTTGAGTGTGTGACATTCTTTAAATTTACATAAAAACTGTCTTGTGCCAGGTGACAGGTCCCTTTTAAAAGATTTCTTCAGGAATTTTCCAGTTTTTTTAAATATGTCCACAATATATTTGTAGCTATACTATGTTAGAATGCTGTTAAGAGGCATAAAACATGTTTTAAGCTCATTTGTATTTCAAATTTGCCATTGTAGCTGTAAATGTGGCATATATTAACCAGTTAATTGGTCTACCTAAACTTCTTGGCAGTCACAACAAACAAACTGTTCAGATCTGCTGAACACAAAAGCTAATTTCTATTAGACAATATCAAAATCTACAATATTAAAACAGCATATGGTTTAGATAAAGCTGCACAAAATCAGACAGCCCTTCCTCTGGGGCGTACTTGTTTGAAGATGAAAGATCAGAAAATTAACACACAAAAAAACATTAAAAGAACTGCATTATGGGTAATTTATGCATCAGTTTTTAATAAAATTAATGTTTCTGCTGCTTCGGATTCCTTACTGGGAGTGATGCCAAACCTTTAAACTGTAAATAGTCTCATATTCTTATTTAATAAAAGCATAAACGTGCAGCTTTTACTGACCAGAGCTTTATTTACAAGATCAGAATTCTGCAAGGCTTCAGTCCACATCTGTTTTCAAGTGTGTCTCCACAATTAATCACACACCGGTCACAAGTATGCAGCAACTATCTACAAGTGGGAGTTTTAGAGAAACTTGTTTTCCTAAAAAGACTAAAACAACAACCAGAAATAAGATAGTTTTGTCTTTCATGAAACCAGCTTTGCTCTAAATGCTCTCATGTGTCACCATGTTTTCCCACCTGTCTCTGGTTTCCATATTTACCGGCTATTCCAGGAGGAGTCTAGCCCGTGTAGGTGGCAGTTCTCCTCGCTGAAATGCTAACGTGCTCTCAGGAAAGCCACAGAGCTGCATGTATAATCTGACAGAAGAATGGGCGCCACAAACAAACTATTCCACGAGCAGCCACTCAGAACAAACACAAACTCAGATCCAAAAAAAAAAAAAAAAAAACTTCTGTCGTTATTTAGAAACATGAATCTAATAAAGCAAATTCAGCTGCTTTGCTGTTTTCAGGCAGTGACCTCAAAAATATGCTTCCATCTTCTCTAAAAGTCATCCCCGCTTGTTCTGGGTGGAAGTAAAAGCAGAAAGACGCGTTTAATAAACATTTTTTCCCCTTGAAATATCAAAAGCTGATGCCAATTTAAACAAACTCGGCCAAATTTTGTGTACGAGCCAAGGGAAGCTCCTCACTCCCAGCTGGAAAATGTCAAATCAAAGCAGACAGTTTATATTTCCTCACACTTCATACCTCTGACAGACGCATCTCAGCGTCATCTACAGAGGGACTGGTTCTTATTGTGAGATCAAGCATCGTTTCAAGCCCTTTCTCTGTGTTCTGCAGGTAAAGGCAGCTCCAGCATCTCCTCTGACATAAGTTCAAGCACAGATCACACTCCAACTAAAGCTCTGAAGAATGTTGCTACCATCGAAGGTAGGGCATCTGGTGCTCATTAACCCTACTGCCCTCCCTTTTCTCCTCCTCCATCTGTAGCTGCTGCTGCCTTTTTGGGACAGAAACCTGTGTGTTCCTGGGATAATTCTTCAAATGAAAAACAAACTCAGCTTGCATCAGAACCCAACATCTAGAGAGCTTCTCCTGGAGGAGGAATGCTTGGCTCATGGTGCTGTATAATGTGGAAGGAGGGGTCCGAGCACCATTTTTTAGAAGGTGTAGGGAGTGGGAAAAGGGAGGCAAGCTTCCCTTTTTCTCTCAGATCATTTTTTAAATTTCTTTTAGCTCTTTTGTCTCCCTCGCCTCCTCATCTCCTTGCCTTCCGGTCCAGCCCAAATTGTTTCTGTCAGGAACAGTTTGCAGGGTGCACGTGTTACGAATGTAAACTTTACACTCACTGTAACAGTGCCAAAATGCGGTGCAGCTGTGAAAACAGCTGTGTTGGATGTAGGGCTTTAATAATAAAATAACATCAGGAAGAAACAATTATTCATAGTTCCGTAGTTCTGCTCTCTAAAATGTGTTTCCTGATTGCCAGATGGCCTTTATATTAAATTGCAATCAAAGGAATAATTTTTATTCACAAGAATAATAATAATTCACGTTTTTATTTATCTTTAAAAATTGATGATCAGAATAGGGTTAATATTCATCATGATCCGCCAGTCTAACCAGGCCTTTCCATCAGACGCCTAGGCATCGAGTATCCTCCGTGAAGTGCAGAACGCAGCTGTTAGCCACGACTCGGTTAATGGGTGTGTTTCCATCAGACATGAAATGGCGCGCTTTGTCCTAGAAGACATTCACACGCTGGTGATGATGAGCTACATCCAGCCCCAGCTGCCCTGGGGTGCGCTGATGGATAGTGTTTTGGATGGTGGTGGTTTATGACTTTTATGAGTCATTTGTCTTTGCATGAATTAGTCGCTGTTCATTGTTTTGCTTGAGACCAGTGACTGTAGACCTAAGTTTCTCAATAGAGACAGTAACGTTTCTCAATCTAAATATAAACATCTGACAATTCTTTATGTTCATGTGGAAGAGTTTCCTCCCTGAATCAAAATTCCAAAGCTATTCAAATGTTTTTTTATTGTCCTGCTAATGATCATTTTTTTAAAGATAAAACACAATGTGGCGAATTTATTTTCAGGTCAAATATTTGCTTTAATCAAATCGTGATATGAGGCTGATACTAAAACTAGGATCAGTGCATCTTTATTTATGACATAATTTCATTGTTTCTTATAATAAATCTAGAGTTTTTTCTCAGAGGACACCATCTAGAGGCCAAAACATGTATTGCAACTCAAGCCCCTTTCCCTACTTCTGTGATTATGGCTCGAAGCAACACCTCTTATTTGTGAACGCGCACCTCTAGCCAGGCAACAGAGCTAAAACACATTGTTTTACAATCATTATTCTGACATTATGTTGTTTATTCATATATTTATATTTTAAAGACTGGCTTGTAGATAAGAAATGCCGCTAACTCTGCATCAGTCTGGAAGTCCACAAACGCACTCACGCTCTGTGATTACGTAAGCAAATCTCTAACAGTATCGGCTAATTCTGAGCAGCGCTCTATTGGACTGGGGTGAAGCAGAATAAGCAAAATAAAATTTGATTAATTGTTTACATTTTCACATTACAGGGTAAAACCATCACTTTAATGGGATTCTAAAAAAAATTCTACATCAGGGGTCCTCAATTATAATGGTCCAAGGGCCACACACAAAAAAGACACAGAAGGCGGGGGGGATTTGGATTGCTGGCTGTAATGCACATAAAACACAAGCTTGCAATATAAAGGAGGACAACACCTATTCCCCTCCAGCTCGGCTGTGACTGCACTAACCTGTCCTGTGTGACCTTCACCATGTAACCCTCATGTCCATGCTGTCTCTGGAGGAGCAGATAGGAGACAAGATCTCCTGTAACCTAAAATGAACCAAAGCTTCCTCCCAGTTTCTCTTTAAGCTAAATTTAACATCAGTTTATCTTCATGAAACAAAAGAATAAAGTGGAACAAGAACTTCTATCTTCTATTTCTCTCTCCTTTTAACTTCTCTGTGTCCCTAAATAAAAGAGACAGATGATTACGCTGCAGTCGCCGTCACTCACCCCGCTCCCTCCCCAAGACCGGACCTCCCGACATCACAGCACTCAGTCTGACTGAGCGCTTCCAGGAGAAACCATAATGAAATTACGAAAATAATAATGCGTGTTTGGAGGAGCATCCTCCGATCCTCTCTCTTGTGTGAGCAGACAATCAATCAATCAATCAATCAATCAATCAATCAATCAATCAATCAATCAATCAAAACTTTATTAATCCCAGAGGGAAATTAGAGTTTCAGTACACACAATTCAGAGATCAGACATACATGGGCAAGACACATTACAAGAATTGGTGACTGTGGTCCTTCGCAACACAAGTCGCGCTACCTTAATAGATGAAAAGGGAATTACATGAGGATAAATTGGGGGAGGGGGAAAAAAGGCACACCAGTTACTCCCGGCAGGGCATAGCTTTACTATGCAAAAAAAAAAAAAAAAAAAAAAAACGCCTCAAACATATAAGCACGAACATCACAGTTCACAACATGAGACTCCGATAGGGAGGTGGGTTGGGGGGTGGGGGGATGGGGGGGGTGGGGTGGGGGCTGGGAGCCTGTTTCCCCAGCGGGCTGGGAGCCTGTTTCCCCAGCGGGAGCAGCCCTGTGTGGCGCTCAGCCAACTGTATCCACAGGTGGGTGGGAGATCTTGGGAGGAGCGCAGAGCACATTGAGTTCCTGCAGTTTGATGACCTCGCTAGGCAGAAGTCCACAATCTGAAGGGGGGGGGGGGGGGGGGTAGGTCGGGTTTTCACAGCATCTGTCTGCATTCCTTCCTTCGTGGGGGTTGTTGTTAGCTAGGGCTGCAACAAACGATTATTTGGATAATCGATTAATCGGATGGGGTCTCGACACGATTAATCGATTAATCGGATTACATGGGGAAATTTTTAAAAACTGCTAGGGAAACGTTATTTCTCTCCTTCCTTCACTTTATTTAACACAACATTATTAGAAAACAGTTCAATAGCAGAAAAACAACATGCCATCACCTAAATTGTCTTATAAGGTGTATAGACAGAGACCCTAAGCTACATCTATCTGTGACCTAAAATGCTTGGTCCAAGTTAAACAGCTTAAGGGCAATTCTCATCTGTTTTGTTTGATCTCATCTGTTGACATTTATTTTAAATGTAATTAAACATAGGCTGTGAATTAATCAAAATTGATCACTATTTCCAAAAATGACTGAAAAAATACCAAATAAAACAAAAGTAAATGAATGCCATCCTCCTTGCGATGATGCCCTGGGCAACTGCCATAAAGTCACATCAAGAAATGCTGCTGATCATTCCAATGATCCCAAATAGACTCACATTAGGCCACATGAAAGCAACTGAACCCAAAAATATATTAACCAGTATATAACTGCACTCTCACACAACACGCCTGCAGCAACAGTTAGGACTCCTCCCTCCCTTTTAAAAGCGTTTTTGCTTCTGAGGACATTGTGGTTGTAAAACCACATGCTAGTAGTCTGGCCCCGGTGTGATCAACCAGTTTCCGCGGGAATGTGACGGCGGAACCAGGGCCAGATTAACACTTTGTTGTACCCTGGGCAACAATATTCAAGGGCTCCATCATCACGACCCGAGGATCACCATAACGTGGTCACATACAGAATATTTTACTGTAATATGCAGTAAATATACTCAATACTTGAATGCCTGACAACACGTAACCCGCCCAGAGTAACCTTTGACCCACCTCGTGTGGACTGACCAATGAGGAGAGGGTCTTAACTTGAGGCCCTCTCTTCATTGGTCAGTCTGCATGAGACTGACTCTCAACTGACGTTCAAAGTCATAGGCAGCGAAGCGTCTCTGTGCAGCGCAAAAGCCCGGGTGGACAGTTTGTGTAATGTAGGGTGATCATATTTCCATTTCCAAACAAGAGGACAGGGGATCTGTGCCTATGACGTCACACTATGGCAACGCCACACAAACAATGTTGGGACCCATTTTTTGTAAGAACTAAATTAATATCAGATTCTGCCAATTAAAGGGCTCTAAAACAATTCATATGTAAATATTTTGCATATTTAATGCAAAATCTAATTTTTCTGCTTTAGTGCTGCAACAAGGTTTTATTAATAATAAATTATTATACCTTTTGTTTTACTACAGCATCGGTAAGCTTCCTGTGCACAGATTATTAAGGATGCTTGTTTCAGCTGTGAGATTAGACGATAGGATCAATGAAAAAATAAGTTGTCACACACTCCATGGAAACTTTCAGAGAATCCACAAATAGTGGCTTTCAAATGGTTTTGTTAATTTTTGCAAGTTTATAAAAGAAGCAGATGAAACAGCATGTCTGATAATTTAGTTTTTCATCTGATAATATTAGAACATGTCAGTAATGTCTGAGGGGCTTTTATAAACACCGTATAACTAACACTACTGGAGAGGGTATGAATTACACAGAGGCTTCTGGGGAGCCCAGTTATTGGGGGGGGGGGGGGGGGGGGGGGGGGGGGTCGCATTTTGCCTTGGCCCCCAAAATGTCTTGAAACCCTGGGTGTGTGACTGAGTTTTGAAGGTGACCTGAATTGTATCAGATGTATAAATATGACATGTGTATAACTTATTGTTTTATACAGGTAAAAACGTGTAGTGGAGATAAATCTACCTACATTTTACTTTTCAACACTTTGTTTTGTTTTCTTGTTTTTATTGAACTATTTTCCTGTCCTGTCTGTCTCTCATCTTCCTGCATCTCCTCTTAATTCTCCAGAAAATCTGTTGCCTGGATTCTTACCTTTTCACCTCATCAGTTACTTTTGAGCAGATCAAAGGGATCTCCTGACCGAAAAGCTCAGAGCGCGTTTTCGATGCTGCGTGAGGTGACATCACCACAGCACAG